AGTAATAGGGGGGAGCCTTGTAATATTCCACAGGTTACTAGGTATTCTCTGGTTATAGTTTGCTTTAGCCATACTCTAACTTTTCTTTCTATTAGAAAGAAATCAATTAACAGAAATAGATCCTTAGGCTAGCCTTATTTCGTTATTCTGGCAAGGAATCATCTTTTAAGTAATATATCGAAAACATTTTGCATATCCATAGTAACCATAATCACTTTCTTCCCAGCCACTAATACAATTTCCATATCGTGTGTGAAAGACATTACCAAGTCTATTGCAAAGCATTTAGGCAAGACTTCGCTATATTAAGGGCTAATAATACCGTGTTTCAGGGCTATCCAATCTAATCATTTAGCAATTATTCTTTCCAGGCCTTTTCTTATACAGAAAAGCAAAGCAATAGATCTCTATGACCTTGCAGATATCATATCCTTTTTCCCGATTTTGAATAACATAACCATTTCAGCTAGCTTCCAGGTTTTCGGGAAATAACTGTATTCAAAGCATTTCTGATAAAGCTGTCTTAGAGGGTTCTTGAGGTGGTCCTAGCAGGTCTTGAGGATTCTGATTGTGACTTGATCAGTTCCTGGGGACGTGCTGGATACTCCAATAACACTTGCTTTGACTTCTTTCAATATGAGTCGGGAGTTCCAGAGTAAATGCCCGCTTCCTTCCTACTAATTTCCTAGTGGATTGTACTCCAGATCATCTTCCACGCTAAAGCAATCCAGAATCTTTGTCCTAAACACTTCGGCTTTTTCTATTATATTTTCTATTACTATTCTATTTGAAGTGATTGGGGGGCTTTTAAGGTTTGGGGCTAGCTTATACCAACCAACTATTTTATATAAATCTTTATCACTAGAGATATCATCTATAACATATCTCCAATAATTGTATTTGACTATTCGAACTACTGTTTTAAATTCCTTTATTGCCGTAGTAAAAAGGTTCCCTGGTGTGGCTTATCTGCTCAGATGTTCGGTGTAAACCGTTTTGTATTCCGTTGTTTATTAGGGTGCTGCCTTGCCTTTCCTTTTGTCCGTAGTCCTTACTACAATTATTGTTTACTTGATGATTTGTATAAGTTGATTAGCGAAGTTATCTATCCTTTCTAAAGTATCAAGAGTATTATTTATAAGCAAGTATATTACTCTATTCACTACTAACCCTACTAGTCGCAGTAGTTCCATTTCCGGGTATTGTTGTTATTAGAGTGTAGTGGTCCGAGCTACTATATAGGTTGTGCCAGACCCTGGTTTCTGCAAAGGGTATATTGGAAAATAAAAGATCGAATATATTGCCTCCTGTATGGGTAGATATTCCTTTTTCTTTAATATATTCTAATTCAATCAGATCTGCCCAGGCCGATAGCTTATTCTTTTTATAAAGGTTTTCCATTCCAGGTTGCCATGTTTCATGTATAGCATTGAAGTCGCCTTCAATAAAGCACCCTGGGGGTGATTATAGTTTGGTGATATACGATAACACCTGTTCTGTTTATACTTGTTGATATATATTCAGTATAGAATGCCTATTTATATTTATCCAGAATATATCACAGCTTTTGATTAGTTGCTTTTGTTAGATTCACAGTTTCGCTCCTTTTCTGATATATATCAGTACTCGGGATCGTTCTGCTTCTCTTTATTCGGGGGATATTCCTGTCCATAAGTCCACTAACATATATAAGATCTATCCGGGATATATTTTGGTTTTTGTAAATAGAAACGTAAAGGGTTCCTGTATACATAGAACATCTGATTTGTCTTCAAATACCATTTGTAGTAGGGTATTGTAAATCTTTAATATTCTGCCTATGTTCGCCCAACAAACCGTTAAATCCTATATTCTGGGTTATTGATAACTACACATATCATCTTGATGTATCCGGCATCTACTTATGTACATTAGGTTAAAAGTTTTCTCCCATTTCGATATCTTATTGGCTGTTGGCTAAATCTTCCTTGTTAAGGTTTGTATTTACCAAAGATTTCCGTCTTAATCGGCTTATTATTATCATACTTTTCTTAAACTATACTATAGTTGGACTAACCCTACTTATTTTGTAGGCAGTGATCTGTTTTCTCCGATGTTTTATTGCTGGGGTGGGTATAAATGTAAATATAACTGTATCTAAGATAGACCCTTCCTTGGAGTTATCTTTGAACTTCTGGTTAGTAAGTATTACTACTTTCATTATTAAAGCCAGTTTTTGTATAGTTTTGAGTTATGGTTTGGTAGGTGTTGTAACTTTATTATCTATTACTTTAGGTGTTGTTGGGCAGTTTTGGTATCCTGCCACAAAGAGTCCGAAGCAATTAACACATTATGCTTTTATTGTATAGTTGGATCCTTATAAGCCTTTATATACATCTTTTCGAATTTTACAGTTTGTATAGCAGATGAGTCTGGTACATCTTGTTAGATTGTACCAGCCTTGGCAGCTAGTATCATATCGAGTTATCATAGGTTTTGCCTTGATTTCTCATACTAGTTCACTAACATTAAAAAGCCTGAAACCACAGACTGATTTCAGGAAGGATATCATCTACATGATTATATTATTATAAAGGTTGGCTTTGTAACATGAAGATCTGCAATTGATTAGGGTTTGGCCTATCTGTGCCTGAACCTCCATTTCCACGTGATTTGCAGTGTCGGCTGGGAATCCCTTCAGTGTATATATCATGTATATATCAACACTGGGACTCTAGGGATTGTATAATTATACTATATTATTGATTGGTGTACCTGTATGTTTCAGTTGATTCGAAAGATAATTTCCTTGTTTTCCTGTGTAAGAAATAATTTTTGGATTACTAGGTTCTTTGATATAATAGTTTATCCTATCTTAGTAACAGATATAATAAAGATATCCGTAAATGTTAAACCCATGATTGCCTTAACAAGAACGCTTTTTAGCGTATACGGAACTGGTCTGCTGATCCAGGTTGCAGGGCTGATAACTATTAGTAGTCTATAATCCATGTTCCGGGCGGTTTGTATTGCCCATTGTTTAGTATATACATTGTTGAATAAAGCCTTTGATAAGGCTTTTTGAGATGTAGGTGGGTCTGCTTGGCCTACTCCATTTTGACTTGTTTTGGGGGTCTTGAGGATCCCCGCATAGGTTTTGGTAATAGTGTATATCTTCAAAGAAACTGTGTTTCTTGTTGCTGGTGATATATACGATAGGTTTGATGATAGATCGGATCCGTTGTTGATAGAGAGTGTGAGGATTTCTATGACTCTGGTGCTCAGTTTCCTAGCTGCAGTTCGTTCGTTTTCTGCAGCAAAGAAATTGATGTATCTATCAATTACATTTATCAGGCTGATTATAACCTTTCACTGAATTCGTTCAGTATGTTTGTATTTGGCAAATTTAGTTTTGAAGGCCTCCATTGCTAAACTGATAGTATTGATTATTGCTTTATTTCCCAGTGTAAAGATTAGAGATATCTTGTTAATGAAGATACGCTGTCTTCTTTTTGAGCAGTTTTTTAAATTGGAAAATATCTCCAAAGCCTGTAGATTGATGAAATCCGTGTTTTCTAGGTCGATGATCTTAGGCGGCACTATATAAGATACTATATTGACTTGTATAGAGCGATATATATTGTATATGTTATTGTGATTCTGTAGAGTTTGAATTCAGACCAAATTTCAACTTCTGGCGACCAGAAATTTTTCTTTGGAATATTGTGTTTGGGTGCAAAGTTTTTACTAGATCATCCTCTGGCACATCAAAGGATCTTATTGTTGGATGACTTCTCTGCCCATCAGAAGTCTCGGTTTTCGTAGAAAGTGTTGATAGGATTGAGTCTACTCGAATGGGATATGGCATCTTTTCTTCATCGATCATCGTGTCTGGAAACTTTGGAGTTTCTTGATTGTGAAATGCTCTGAAGAGACAGTTCATTCTCTTCTCTTGTTCCTCTATTTCGATCAATTCTTGCAAATTTGAAGATTCTTGAATGCGATATGTGAATCGAGATCATAGTATAAGAAGACACTCAGCCTGTCAAGACGACCGAATAACAAATTGTTGGTCCATGAAGAAGTGAAGTCACGCAGGTGAACTCTAATCCGTAACCGTCGCAATCTCAAGCAAGAGTCATTAAGAGACCTTCCCATGTACCAGATGTGCAGAGACTTAGTAGGGAATTGTTTTTGAATATATTCCAAATCGATTGAGGATTGAGGATTGAGGATTGAGGTCTCGACTTTCAATCCACCTTCGAAAACTCGAATAGATTGAAGGTTTGACGACGCTTAGCACGGGAAAATTAATTTTGACGAGAATCTTGAAATTTCTGAAGATATTGAGTAAGTATATGAGAAACTTCCTTCGAAAATTCGATAGGATTGGGCCTAGTATAAGCTAAACTTTCCTCTCGAACGTGTGGAAATAGTATGTAGTATATACAAGCTTCCTGCGTTCCTGCGGATGTAACGTTAACGCTGCATCGCTGTAAGAAGCATTTGAAGCAGCCAAGATAACAGTTCTCGTCTAGTAACCTGCCTAAAATGTAAGAGCATACACCTTAATGAGACAATCATCAGATGAAGAGATGAGGTGAGATGAGACGAAGATGAGATGAAGAGATGAGATGAAGAGATGAGATGAAGCGATGAGGTGAGATGAGATGAGGATACTGTAAAATTGAGGAATGAGGGAATACCTTTATAGGTATATGATATTGTCCTAAGTAACAATAGCTATGTTGGCATTGTGAGCCCATAGCATAGTCCTCCCAGTCGATGGACGATGTTGTGTCTGTTTAACCCTGCCCCTTATTTATTCCGATACTTAACGGTGACGTTCATCAATCACAATTCAGATTCTTATTACTTCAGACTCCTTCTCATCTTCTTCTCTCATCCACTCTTTTCCTTTCCACCACCTCCATCCTTCAAAATTATATTTTCCACACCCACAATCACCATTCCTCCCTTCCCTTCCCTTCCCTTCCCCTCTCCTCCTCTCCCCTCCCTCTTCAAGGCCCACCCAGTCCACACTTCCCCATCTTCCTCCCTCTCACAACAAACATCGGATCCTCATAACCCCCCTCCTTCAAAACCACCTCTTGAACATTCTCCCACCCCCCACTCGCCCAAAAATACCCCCCCACCCACCTTCTCTTCTCCGCATCATCCATCTGCAACCACTTCCTCACAACCTTCGTCGGAAAACACCGATAACTCAACGCCATATGAGCCGTTCCCCCCTCTTTCAAAACTCTCCTCATTTCCTCAAAAACCCTTATCGGCTGCGTTAAATAATCTACCGATACATTACACATCACCACATCCATCGTTGCATCATCTATTCCCTCGAACTTCGGATCGATATTCAAATCCTTGACTACATATTTGGTTAAATGTTCATTTTGTTTGAGTTCTGCTTCGTTCAGACCGATTCCAACCATGACATTGGGTTTGAGCGTCGATGGTAAGTGCGAAACCCAGGAGGAACAGATGTCGAGAACGTGTGATTGCGGTGTGATGCGCCTGGAATAGTAGTGTTTCAATACGGATATAGCGCCGTCGTCAAGATGTTGCACAAATCGAGGTTGAGAATACCATTCGGTATCAGGAGATTCATCTTGTCGGCGGAAATCCACAGGATTGTAATGAAAGGTTGTTGGGTATAGTGAACGGGGGAGTGGTGTAATGATTGGGAAGGGATCTTTTGGTGTGAAGTCGCTGGTCATTGTTTTGGTATTGGTACAAGTGAAACTTCGGGTGGCGAGAGTTGAATTGATGATATATCGAGAGAATGTTGATTTTATGAGAGGTCGATACATTGACATTGACATTCAAAGTTAGGAATTTGTATGTTTTTTGTTCATGTTGAGCTTCACATTGGGCTGTGTGGTGATTTTGATAAATGAGAAAATGCCCGTCATGGAAGCTTGATAGATGAATTTATAGCACTTCAGATTGAAGAAGGATTTGGAAGTTGCATTCATCCCATGCCACCCACCTCAATTCATACAAGTTCTTGTATGTATTTTGGCGTTCAGATTTTATATATTAAACTGTCAATCTTTATATCTTCATTTCCTTCCTGCTGTTGACGTCCTCCCTTTTCCCAGTGATGGCAATCACGGAGAGGCTTTCCACCAAAATTCCTCATATTCCTCATATTGCATCAACCATCCATCTATCTCCAAAACTGCAACATCCCCTCACCACAAACTTCATACACGATTCCCAACCAACCAAACAAATCTCATTCATCCCACCATTCATCCCATCCCATCCATCCCACACCACACACACTAAATAATCCAACTATCCACTCCAATCTCCAATCTCCAACCAGCAACCAGCAACCAGCACCCCTATCTTATTCTATCCTATCCCAAGAACATCCCAACAAATATCGTCAGAACTATCGTCACCACTAGCAATTCGTAGTATTGAAATCTAAGTAAATCTACTCCTACAGTAACATAATATTCCCCAACTCCCTTCCCTTCTCTTTCCATCCCTCCTTCCCTTCCCTTCCCTTCCCTTCCCCCCTCTTGCCTTTCTAATTTCGCCAATCCAATCCATTTCAGTCCAATCCAGACACGATAGATAGATAGATAGATCATATAAAAGAATGATAGAAAGAAAGAAGGAAAGAAATTTCGTCGTACTTGTACCCGAGTATGAACATCGGTATTATGAGTATAACTATGACTATAAAGTATACTGTAGTCAGCTATCAGTTGTGCGTTGTCAGCTGTCAAAGTCTGGGCAGGCGTCCGAAAGGGTGTGTGTGGATATAGGGTTCGCCATACTATATGCGAATATTAACATTTCTAGGTTCTAGATTGGTATCATATGCTATACTTTGATATACTCTACCGAATCAACGCCGTGCATCCTCCGCTCCAATGCCAAGACTGCGTTAAAAAGCCTAATAGTCATGTGAATCTAATATACTCCCTGTTTACCCGCGCTCTATAATCTACAGTAGGTACCAATTTCCCCTATATGTACTCATCATCGTCTCTTTTCTCAACTCCCTTACCTATCTCCTTCTTCCCCCCATCTTCTACACTTCCCATCCAACTCTCCCCTCTCAAATCCCCCCTTCACACATCAACCCCCCCCCTAATTAAGACCCTCCATCGCATGCCCCGTCGGACCATGAACCGCATAATCACACAACACAAACGCCCTATCCACCTCCGGCAACCCCTCACAACAATACTGCATCGTCTCGGCCACATCATGCGCCTCCTCCAACGTCGTGCCCTCACTCAACAAAATATCGATTTCGACCCACACACCGTCACCTGCGTGATATGCCGTGATACTCTTATATCCATTTACCAGCGGGCTAAAACGCCATGCGAGGAATGTGATTTTTTGCTGCAATCGATCGTCGACTGCTGCACCGGTGAGACGGAAGATGTTTTCGAGACATGTTGAGGCCCAATCGAAGATGATGAAGAGGGAGAGGAGACCGGCGCCCAGGGGATCTAACCACCAGATGTTGGCAGCGTGGCCGATGTAGGGGAAGATTAGGGAGAGGGTGTTGAAGATTACATCGGTTTTGCAATCTATTTATGGTGTTAGTTGATTCGTGATCTTATTTAAAACGGCTCTGAACACATGAAAGCTTCATACCTTGAGCAAGAGCCTGTACCTGCGTAGTTTTAATTTTGATGCATCCAAACCAAATGAAACCCTTCAGTCCAATTGTACCCGCCATAGATGCAATAGCAATAACCGGCAATTCGCTTGCTTCATGTGGACCCTTGGACATGAGTTTCTGAGCCGATTCCTGAAGAATTTGTATAAAAGAAACGATCATTATGATTGAGAACACCAGAATCCCAATTGGTTCCAATCTTTTTCTTCCCACGGGAAATTTTCGTTTCAGACTCATCAATCGCCATTGTACTAATCGATTCGTCGTGAATACTATGACTGTACATAGGAGATCGAGTGCTGAATCGACGAGAGAGGCAATGAGAGAGAGCGATGAGGAATAGAATGCTGCAACACATTTGGCGGTCAGTAGAATGATGTTGGCGAAAACGTTTATATTGATGGCCCATTTTGCCTTCTTGCGAGCCTTTTGACGTTTTTCTTGTTCTGCATCGGGTAAGAAAGGCTCGACAAATCCTTGGGTATCTTGTAAAGCTCCACCTCCTTCTGCTACTCCATCTCCATTGTCATCTCGAGGATCGAAGGATTCAAGGATATCGTCTGCAAGAGCTTGGACGATAGCATTTACTTCGAGCCAATCGTCAAGGCGGTTATTTTGGTCTTCATAGAAAATGCGAACGCTTTTGGGCATTTCCTTTAACTGTACACTGAGTTAGTAAATTGTTACACGTATGAACACAAGGCGAAGACAATATGCCTCATTATCCTTTTTGCGAAACCCTTCTAAACTCGAACTTTCCACACCGTCTAATAATTTCTTCTTGAATTCCATACGTCTTCGATCATCTGGTTCTAAAGGTCCGTGATCCCGAAATCTGTATTTCCTATCTTCTGATGGTTTCCCTTCCTCCAAGTCTCGGCGGAGATATGTACTCTGTTTGGCATTGTGGCCATTGTCGTCGTTCCCACTTGCCCAATTTCTATGACCTGTCATACTGAATTGGTTATATTGACACTGCTGACGAAGGCAAAGAAAGACAGATATTTACCGTAGATTGACACTTTTTCATATATGGAGAAATCTTTTCATTTACCTACATTGCAGTTTATTGTCCTTGATTTTTGGTTGATAGTGGGACATGCATGATGTCACTTTTTGCTGCTTGTCAAACCAACGTGGATCGTATCGTACAGTGGAACGCAAATCTTGTTGAGAGACAACGTGAATGCATGTTTGTCAGCCATTAGCATTGGCCTTTCGTCGATGATCTCTCTAGCAGCTTGCTTTAGTTACTCGAAGAATAGGAGAAAGACACCATGGGAAGAATGTTTTCAAGTTATATATGAGTTTCCTATCTGAAAGTCTGTTTGTCTTGGCTCGGGTACATCCATAAAGGTCGAGAAGTGGAGCATCGCTATTTTTGGTATCAGTTCCAATACCCCGGAGAGGAAAGCCGCTGAGGTGCCATTCGCCATTCTTGATCCTTGCTAAAACCAGGGGGGGTGATATGGTACTTCCGTGTGGTGTTGTGCAACTGTTAGGTTAGCGGTTTTATCAGCGATGAGACTCCAGGCTGTCGATTGATATTATAAACCCGAGTCAAGATTGTTATAAAGCTTCATTTCGCTAACTTCAATCGATATATGGAAGGTCGCTTAACCTGCCAAGTTCTGTAAAGGGGCTGTCGGTGGGAAAAGAAACTCCAACAATCTCCATCGATACAATCTTGGTGTGTTCTTGCGGGGCGGCACGATCCGAGAATACATCAATCAAATAGGAGATCGGTTTGTAGATAGAAGAAGACTGAGTAAAGAAGTGATCGCAACAGAAGCAATGGATATAGCATATAATGGGAGCAGATGATATCCGTCGTCGCTGCTTGTTTGTTTGTTTAAAATGTTCCCATCAGTAGTTACTGTGGCTGAACATCTGAAACTGCGCCACATTTAGCTATGACTATGACGTTTCGGGCAGGGGCACACGAGACCTCGGTCCATTTCAAAATTATGCCCAAAAACTTTCCCATAAAATTGTTTCATGAGCATAGAATATACTCAATTACTCGTACATCGCCCAATATCCAGATTTAGATTTCTTTTTGAAGAGATTCATAGTTTCTGTCCTCTTTTCACATATCAGAACCGCAATAGTGTCTTCAATTTCATTCAACATTCTCCATCATATCGCCAAATCCCCCTTGCGACTGCGTTTGCCACTGCACCCAAAGACAACAACAATACCACCGCTAATGGCATCCTACCTCTCACGATTAAGCCCAATTCCAGGCTTTCCGGAATATACTGGACCTTACAAAGTAGGAACAATTGATGTCGAAATTCCCATTTCAGAACTCGATTCACCAGCCAAAGCACCAAGTAATGCAGGAAATATTCCAACAATTCAATATCGAATCTTTTACCCATGTGAAGCGGAATCAAAACATAAAGGAAAGAGTGTACATTGGATACCTGCGCCGCAGAGAGATTATATAAGTGCATATTCGAGATTTCTGGGAGCTGGGAGTACATTGGCAGAGGTTATCTCGTAAGTATGACCTAAACTTGGGTGAAGGGGCAACTGCTAATATATACGGTATGATAGATATTTCCCCAGACTCCTTCATTATGTTACAATCCCCGTCCGCAAAGATGCACCACTTCTTCAACCAATTACAAGTAATCACCGTTGGCCTGTTATGATATTCTCGCATGGCTTGGGTGGTTCAAGAAATGCATATTCACATATAGTAGGATCAGTGGCAAGTCATGGGATGATTGTCATTGCACCCGAACATCGAGATGGCTCAACACCTATATCATATATTCGAGAACCCTTTTCCGATGCCTCCGCAATAGGAAAGGAGAGACATTTCAAGAAGCATGCCAAAAGTACCATTGAATATGTCAAATTATCACATACACCGAGTCCGGAAGTCGAGGATGGAAGAAATGCGCAATTAAAGATTCGACTTTGGGAGATGGGTTTGATTCATGAGAGTTTATTGAAGTTGGATGAGGGGAAGAAACTTACGAATCTTAATACATCTTCGACTTCATTATCGGTATTCAAAAATCAAATGCATATTCACGAACCTGGTAAAATTACTTTTGCAGGACATTCTTTCGGGGCAGCAACAGTGGTGCAGTTTGTGAAATCAGTATTTTACGCACCAGAGTCCTCTTCAGCCTCAAAGTCTTATAAACCGGTTTATGAACCATCTCCAAAATCCTCTATCTGTTCACAAATTACGCCAAATAATCCAATTATACTACTGGATTGTTGGTGTTTTCCCCTCCGCTCTCAGGCAACCCGCTGGCTATGGGATCGACCTCTCCCATCATACGCATCTTCTGGTCCCGGTGGCTCTGCAATTCTCGCCGTCGAATCACAAGCCTTCTACAAATGGACCGAGCATTTCAATGCAACCAAACGACTTCTTTCCGCAGACCCATCTTCACATCATCCATCCAGTAATGGAACATCAGAACCACATTTCTACTATCCTACATCCAGTGCTCATCTTAGTCAATCAGATTTCGGCGTGCTTTTCCCTTGGGTCACGAAAAAAGTCTTCGCGGCAGAGGAACCCGAGAGAATTATGAGATTGAATGTTAGAGCAATGATGCAATTACTTAGGAAAAGAGGAGTCGAAGTTTCTCAAACTTGTAAAGAAGATTTGGAACTTGAAGGAGATGGGGATGAAGTGGAAACGAATGATGATAAGAAAATCTTTGGAAAGGATGGAGGGATTAGGGGTTGGAATTGGTTGAGTATTTCTGGAAGTGAAGCGGGTGCTGGTACTGGTGTTGGTGCAAGGGTAGATGAGGGTGAAGAATCGGAGATCGCGGATAAAAAGTTGGATGGGAAACAAGTTGAGGTTGGGACAGGGGGAGAGGGGGAGGAAGAGGGAGAGGGAGGGAGGGGGAGAGTTGGAGGAGATGGGAAAATTGGAAAACCAATGGGTGTGGTGCCGACGGAAGTGGTGATGGAGAATGAGATTGGTGTTGGTGTTGGTGCTAGTGCGGGATCGAAATTATGATGTTTTTATACCTTATGAGGTGGGAGATAGATGAGACTGGTTTGTAATGCTATAGGATGGGATAAGGTTTAACAACTTGTACCGGTATTTGGAGTGTGTTTTTAAGGGCGTCTAGTTCTCTTATTGGGGTGGTGCTATTGATTTGTATTGTATTGTATTGTATTGTGTTGTATGGATAAATAGATTATTATAGATTATTATCGGTATTAGTATTAGTCTTAGCATCGGTATCGGTATATCAGGGGTATCAGGGGTATCAAACAAATGAAAGAGCTATGAATCTCTAAAGACTCGAGTATTATGTAAACGAAGAAGTCTGGGGTCTGGGTATAAACAGAGTGAGTATAGAAGAATAGAAGAATAGAATAAATTAAATTCTCATCTCATCTTATCCTTGGAATATATGAATACGGATGGGTACTCGAGAGTATATTAATTTGGGTTGGAATTTTTGTGGTGAAGATGGGTATCTTGGACTTGAGTAGTGGAGTAGTGTAGTGGAGTAGTGGAGTAGTGTAGGTAGTGTAGGTAGATTAGGTAAGTAGGTAGGTAGGTGTGTGTGTGTGCTTGGGCTTTTGTGGATTTGGTGGGTGCGAGGGAATGGTGAGTTTGGTGGGTGGGAGGGGATGAGGGGGGTTGGGATGGAATGAAGTGGGATGGGATGGAGTGGAATGAATGTATTGAATGTATCGAATGGTTATGGAAGGAAGATAGATATGAGGGTATGAGAGGAGAGTATGAATACGAGTATAAATACGATTTTGGTATAACGGATAGGTAGGTAGGTAGGTAGTATGTGGATATGGATATGGATAAGGTTGATGGTTGATGGTTGATGTATATACTCAGTAGTTGGTTATGATTATAATTAGGAATGTAGGAATTCATATTATACTACCACCGAGTAAATGAATACTTTGATATAGAGTATAGTATTGAATTGTGTATTTGTGTTTGTGTTTGATTAGAAAAGATTAAAGAAGGAAAAGTAAGGAAAACTATTTTACAAAGATAAGGAATTAAAGAGAAGAAATAAAAGAGCATCGTGATGGAAAATTCAAAAAAAAAAAAAATAGGTGAAATAATAGGGGATAAATAAATAGTGGTGAGTAAAGATAGAGATCGATTGAAGATAAATTTGCTATGGAATTGGAATTTGGATTTAGATTGGGATTTGAATTTGGAAGGAAACCCCTTTTGTTTTGTAGACTCGAGGTGGATGAGGATGGATAAGAAAGATGTGAGAGGTTGGGGAGAAGGGTTAGGGGAAGGGGAAGGAGGAGAGAAAGAGGAAGGGGGAGGGATAGGAAAGCTTGAGAAATTAAGAATAATGAGTACCGGTAGGTATGCAGATTCAGATTGAATGAATAAGAGAGGTTGAGGGGAAAGACAAATAATAATATGAAATGGAAACGAGAAGAGGAAGGAAAAGGAAAAGGAAAAGGAAAAGGAGAAGTTGAGAAGTTGAGAAGATTTATATCTTATAATACTAGTAATACTAAAATAGATAAATGAATAAGAGAGGTTTAAAAGTAGAGAAAAAGACAATAATGAAAAGGAAACAAGGAGAGGATTTCAAAGGAAAAGGGGAAGTTAAAGAACTGAACTCGGATCTATTATCTATAGTAATATAAGTCTTACAATTCACGTCAGGTCACGGTCTGCAAGGAATGAGGTTGGTAGAGATCCAGATCTAATGCATACTAGGTAGTTAGAAGTGGAATCATCAGCTTCGAGAAGGTAATCATACACCCAGTTTAATAACGTGTTTCCAAAAGAAAATCAACTTTTCGCGAATTTTCATCTCAATCTTAATCTCAAATCGAATTTTTCAAATTTCAGTCTACAATATCTTTATCAAAATAGTTTTAATATTTTCGATATTTTCGATATAATTGAATTATTGATTATTAGAATCATTTTAATTATTTTTAAATACTAAAATAGCTTATTCGTTGGAAAAGTTATTTTGAAATTAAGATAAAAAGTTATCAGAGATCGAAATCGCGGTTTTTTTTTGGAAAGACGTTATTAAATCGGGTGTACCTAGAGAGTGGTGTTGACTTGGTTACTTATGTTTGGTTACTTATGTTCGTCCAGCCAGTCGAGGGCGATATTTAGAAGAGAAGAGTGCGAAAGGTGGAGATGGGAGAGAAGTTTATATATATATGGAGGGATGGATGGATGGATGTGTTGAGGCACTAGGTATTTATTGTGAGGATGTTCGAGTATCACTAGAAGTATTATCCTTTGTTCCTTGGGGAATTAATCTTATTCTTATAATTTTCTTTTATATGTTCTTGATTGATGTTTACACTGTTAGTAAGTATTTATTACTATCACGGTATCTTGAGATTTAATAAAAGTCTTGCTGGTTTGTTCTTTTAGTGTTTTACTGTAGTAAGATTTGTTTAATTTGTTTAGATGATTATAGTACTGAGTACTGAGTATATACTATGTATGGTATGGTATGGTATCCTTATACTCATCACCACACCACATTAATTACATTATACTAATCAAAACCTCTACCCCCCCCCCAATATGCTCAGTATTATTCTTCACTTGTTAAACAGAAAATGTATTGATTGTCAAAATGATATGGGTATCATTTTTATTGCACGTTTTAGGTTTTGAGGGGGCGTGGGGAGGGAGTGAATGGGGTAAGAGGGAAAAGCAGTGAGGAGAGAAGAGACTTGTATTGTTGGTGGCTTATCCGATTATATTATTAGTAAAATTGGATGTGAGGTTACTGATTTTTATAATGATATGGTATGGTATGGTATCTCGAATAGTAGTACTACTCGTAGTATTTTATTGGTATACCTAGGTAGTTATAAAAAGTTTACCAGTACTCGAGTATCTCCATATAATTAATCGTAGATAGTTGTTTCTCGCTTAGCTTCAGCGTTTCTGCCTGATATGTAAGGTTATCTATTTCCAATGTAAGGCGCATAACCCTAGATTGGATATATAATACTTGGCAAAACGTGATGAGATCTAGATCTAGATCTGAGACATAATAACTTTACGACTCAGTAGAGTCGAGGTTTGAGCGAGTGTCTTGGGGTGATTATTGTATTGGAATTGGAATTGTTGTATTGAGTTGGAATTGATTTGGGGAAAAAGGATGTGGATATGGATATGGATATGGATATGGATTAAGAGTATTTGCAGTGTTTGCGTTAGTAACCTATGTAACGATAATAAAACAGTGGCGGTGTATATATTGGAGGTTTGATATGGGATATCGTATATATTGACTCGGAGAATGAGCAAACTCTTGCTTGTAAATCAATATAATTCGAGACGGAACTGATGGAGATACTAGGTAGGTAGGTAGGCATACTGAAGTGCCATCCATTCCTACCGCTTTCCATTGCATTTACACAGTGGGAATAGCCTCAAATTTTCGATATTTAATAATAATGCGAGGTAATTAATTATCTAACAATATTTCCGTATTTGTATTTCCGTATCCCTTCCTGGTACTGGTAGCCGTATTCGATACTTTCAATGGTACTTTGTACTCGAGTATAGAATTTAATACTACGAGTACATATTATATACCGGTATGTAAATAATTTCAAAAGATTCGATATCATGATGTAATTTTACCACTGAAATGATCTGAATGGTGAGGGGAGTACGGAGTATATTAACGCTGATAGCGGCGCTGAGTATTTGCGATGTTGTGGGAATTTTATTATTCTGATCTGATGTGATGTGATGTGATTTTTTTGAGTGGATCTTGTGCGAGTATATCTAGGTAGTTATAATACAACTCGATATGATATTAATATATAAAGTAAAATCAGAAGTCAGAGTAATTGATTGATGAATATGGTGATGAAGTAATCTGAATGGGTAATACGGGTATACTAATACAGATAGTGGTATTGAGTATTTGCGATGTTGTGGGAATTCTTTTGATCTGATCTGATCTGGTATGATCTTTTTGGGTGCCAGTGGTCTTCTGTAGCTGTAATATAACTCGATATTATATTGTATTAATAGGTATTGTATTGTCAGAACAGAAGTCAGAAGTCAGAGAAACATTGATTGGTGAAGAAGATGAGCAAGATTCGGATTCAAGAAGAGTGATGGTACTTGAGTATTGGCTAGTGTCCTCCCCCCAATAAAATGAACCAATGCATATTGAACCTCAAACCCCAAAGCTCCAATCCAAAATCCAATCCAAAGTCTAATCTTCAAAGTCCAGTCCAATCTAAAGTTCAATCTCCAATGCAAAATCCAATCCAAACTCCAATCCAAACTCAGATCCAATCCAAACTCCGATCCAATCCAAAGTCCAATCCAATCTCCAATCCTCCCCATCCAAACTCGAGGCTCAAAAAAGCGCTGTGATCACTCTGCTCTTCAATATATGTAGTATATATTGACGATTGCCCAGCTAGCACGCTCATACGAGGACGTGTGATCAAAGCCAGCCACCCTATAGACGAATTAACAGTAAACGAATGTGAACTTAATGAATATGGTAGTTCGTTTGTTGTCCAGGGAAAAAGAATGTCGTTGAGTATTGATAGTCGCTGGTTGGACAAAAAGTCCGAAAAAAAAAGTAAGAATAGTCGCTGGTTGGACATAAAGTCCGAAAATGTTGTTGCAGTAAAGACTGTAGTTAGTTGGAAAAAGCCGAAGAAAACGCCGAAGAAAAGCCTAAAAGAAAGTGAAAAAAAATAAAAAATTTTAGGTTTACTATTTTGAATTTTTTTGGTGGTCCGAAGACACTGTAATTTTAGTGAAAGCAACAAAAGTTGACGAAAGGAAAAAAAGCGCGAAAATGATGTGAGAACCACATTCATTCGAACTTACAATCATGATAATAGTAGGAAAACTTTTCGCCCTCTGAAACTCAAGTTATTCCTTTCAATTTGATGCCAAAGTTTGCCCACAAGTGTTTGATCTGTTGAGGTGCCAAGTCAACAGTTCAAAAAAACAATCCCCCTTGTATGCCATTGTGTGATTGGTAGGTGCTCAATCTACCAATCCTCGTCATCATCATCAGCCCAAGAGAATGACTTCAGGTTTTCCCCATTCATTCTTGGAATGACCGTCTCTTGAGCCGAATCAACTATCGAGTTGTTACCAGCCATCAATGGTGCGACGGATCCCTCAGAATTCTCTGCATCTTCTTCAGGGACGTCTCCTAGTTCTGGAGCTCCAACCTTCCGAACCGTCAAATTAAGAGGCTGAGGAAGCAACCACTGCTCAGCATCTTCAGCGGTCTCAACCGGCGGGATGATAGGCTCAAGACACTGAGACTCGGTGTGCCGCTCGACCATAGTAACCTCGGGTTCTTCCGGAAAGACCTCCGCCTGCGTCATATTCCATTGTCTCTGCCGTTCACTCCAACGACTCAATGGACCGGCAGTACTAGGTCCAACTGGGTATTCAATGTCCTCTGTGGTGCCGTCAACCAGCGCATTCATGCAATGATCACTGCGGCACGAGTACGGCTCCCATCGCAATTCGAAACCTGGTCTCTCAGGCGCGGGTTGGTAGGATCCCATGTAACAGGTCAAATACCATTCCCCACAGATCCGACAGCGCCTTCCGGCAGCGCACCGAAAGCGGGTCTCGGCACCGGGCTGAATTAAATCAGCCTCGGCCAACGGGAGAAAAGCAGTGGCTGACGTATCACTGTCTTCATCCCCGACACCCACTTCGAAAGCCCGGACTTGGTGGATCGACCATCTCCCAACCAAGGCCTCGAAAGAAACCTTTTTCGTAGTCACCACTTCTGGCTTTCCGAATTTGGGAGCTTTGGACTCGTCAGAGGACGAGGTCCAGTGCTCCAAGATTTTGCCCAGGCCCCAGACGCGCATCCCGTCAAAGGTACCCTGGGGGCGGATTCCCACGGGGAGAATCGCCGACTCGCATCCAGACAACCGCGGTTGCTTGAATGTTCCACCCTCAGTGAGGAAACATTGTTCGTCGGAGTCGACGACGAACACTCGCTGAAGGGTCGCGTTTGTGCTGCGACTCAGGTCAGTTGGAACGGAAAAATCGGAGGTGGGGGCAGGGGGGTCCTTAGCTGGTTGTCCGAGGGCTTGCCGAAGCGCCGCCCAAGCATAATACATGGCCTTTGTGGGGCCGCAAGAAATCATCGTGATTCTTGTTGGTGGTGGTGGTGGCGGTAAAGTGAGTCTAATTTGTTAATGGTTGGATCTAAAATTGTGAGTTGAAAAGTCAGTTGTTCAAAAGAAGAGCTGAAAGAAGTTGGAAGTTAAAAAGTAAGATCCAATTGTGTACGAAGAAAGAAAGAATAGGAATCTCGGAGCGGAAGGTGGTATTTATGTGCAATTGGAAACTGGGCGTTCATCGCGATCACTTCTTCGAACTTCCGCTAACTAGTCTAGTTGCGATCAAACAAGTTTACCTACGATGGTTTGACAAATTACTGGTTGAAAGAGTACTAGTTTAACAGAATACCAGTTTGCCAAGTTAACTAGCTCCGGTTTCTACACCACCCGCGTAGCATAGATAACAGGATCAACGCAACTAGCTCTGTCCAAAACCAAGGTTTTCAAGACTCGTAGTACAAGCTAGAACCAGATAATGAGCACTCAGGACTATCAATACTTGGATTTACGTCAGAGAATAATTCTATTGGGTGTTGAAATCATATGAGAGGTACTGAATTGGTTTGAATTACTGGATTGGGTTGACTGGATTGGGATGAATTACTGGAACCATTTGAGATGCTAGTTTGATTTGAGATGTTGAATTGGTTTGAATTGCTGGATTGGATTGAATCGCTGGATTGGGATAAGATGCTAAAATCACTTGAATTACTGGAACCATTTGAGATACTAGTCCAATTTGAGACACCGAATCGATTTGAGTTACTGGATTGGGTTGATATGTTGAAATCACTTGAATTACTGGAACCATTTGAGATACTAGTCTAATTTGAGATACCGAATTGGTTTGAATTACTGGATTGGGATGAATTGCTGCATTGGGTTGAGATGTTGAATTGGTTTGGATTACTGAATCCATTTGAGAAACTAATTTACTTTGAGATACTCATTGATATCAAAAGCTAATCTAATTTGAGACACCGAATCGATTTGAACAATTGAATCTATCTATCTATTCCAAACATCAAATCAACCCACATCAACCCAACACATTCATTCATTCAACTCTCTAGTAATTATCCTGCATAACAAACAATATCCAGATCCAGATTCAGGTTCAATTACTCCTTTCATTTCATGTATATGTATACACGTAACTCTCATCTCATCTTGCTGTACCATCCAATTCCAACATTTCCTTCAAGTTGATATGAATCATATGAACATACTCGAGTATGAATGATAATCACGCTACTAATTTAATTTAATTATTTTAACTTTCTGCGAGATGCACTGGCAACGCTTGCCGGTGTGTACGTAATGTACTTGTAGAGGTCATAGATATGACCGCATCACGATTCACAGAACGAAACTAAGTAAGTAAATGTATTTATTTGAGTTCGTAATCCATGATCGACGACGACATTGCAATCGCGATCGCGATTGTACTGGCAATGAATGATATTATACATATACATATACACTAGGTCAATGAACCTACCCTACCTAGTAAAGTACTGATATGTCAAATGTGACAATGTCTAAGGCTGGCAGGCCTAGTGAGAAATGAGAAGTAAAATATGCTTTATAATGTGACAAGGCAAGTAGGCAGATAGGCAGGTACTGTCGGTGCGGAAGCTAGGGATGGTAGGGGATGGTAGGGAAGGGTGGATTTTGTCAGGGTATTGTGGAGTGATTTTGGGGCTTAAGCAAGCTGGGGGCGGGTGATGGGTTATGGGTGATGGGATGGGATGAGCTAGAAAGAGACTAGAATGAAGGTATTGAAATGAGATGAACTAGTGGGAAAATGTATTTAGATAATATGATGACTTGGACACGCGTGTATGATAGTGATAGGCATAGCGATAGTAATAGTGAGATAATCGTGGTGAATTTCCACTACTACTACAGTAGCATCAAGTCGAATTTCTCAAGGCATGATGTGATTTCATTACTAGGCCGCGTATGACTAGCATAGATACATGGAATTAAAAAGTGACATGTTCGTAATATTGTAGACTAAAAAACACATGATTGAACATGAAGTAATGACCACATAGATATACCGAACACGTGTAGACAGACATTTAAGTCGATCATCTAAGGATTTGCAAGAACGGCCCACGGGAACAGACGATTCAATTGCGACTCAAATCAATGACGCCAGCATGTTTGTTATGAATAGTAAATAATCATGTGTCAACTATAACTATGAAATACAAGGAAAGCTACGGCCTACAAAAGTAACGTACGTACAGTCTAGTCTGGACATAAACAGAGTTTGGATTATAGGCAGAAAGGGCCGATTTATCATTCGAGGTAAGATCGCGAGGTTATCTACACCTACCCGTGATCGTGCCTACCATACATACTATACCATATCAATCACTAGCGACATGATATCCACCTCGAATCATGAACTATGACATGTATCCAAAGTAACCACGATGTAGAAATAAGGTTAAGATTAAGATTAAGATTGATTACACATTAAACTCTATTTCTGCGCGCGCTACAAGCGAGAGCGGGAGCGGCTCGTTTCGCGCCAAGACTTAAGCGAGAAAAGCTAGGTTTCGGGTAGGGCGTAAGCATCGGGTAATTTGGCTTGGCGTCCTCGAAATGTCGCTTACGGCTCTTGATCGACAAATAAGAATCGTAAGGGATCGCATTAGATGATGTTTAAGAGCCGTGCGTAGGGGATGTTGGGAGTTGGAGGAAGATAAGCTGAGCTAAGGCTTGTACCGGTACGCGAGGATTGTAGGGCGAAGTAGGGTTTGGATGAGATGGATGGGATGATGGAAATGAATGAGATGAATGAGATGAATGAGTATCAGGATATTAGGATATCAATGCTATGTAACAATGGGGTGGTGGTATACTCGAATGATAATCTGAAATCTGTCAATACAGATTTCGAGCTTTGCAACTTGTTGAGTCTCGAGAATCTCAAACTGGAATAAAGGTACAGAAAGTTATGATAATTCCAGTGGTCTGAAATAATTCCCAGATCATTGGTTTGAAATATAATGTACAGAACTGAACGCAGTTTATTCTTATTGTGTACACTAGATTACGTTTGTATGCAGTTGCTGAATTGGAAGTTTCTCAATAAGGCAAAGGATCAGATTGCAAGAGTATTAATAGATAGCGGAACTCAAAGAATTTGAAAATTTGATATTGCGATGATGATACGAAATGTATCTGGTGCAAATCCTTTTGTTGGGAGAAAAGTGCAGTAATTATATATATAAGAGTGAGGATCTTTGTCGACAGTTTCGAGATACATGGGGTAATCATTGAATCAAAAGATTCTCAATACCAAAGCAACGAACAAGATTTCAAGAATATTAATAAACCTCGAACAATCTCAAACCAGATTCAATAAGTAGTGAGAAAATCTGGTTCTTTTATTGAAAAGAGCTCATGAAACGGAAAATACTACATAACATGTGTTCCAGAGGAAACAATATTTGAAAATAAGGAATTTGTAAGAATTGATCTGGCTTCCTGAGTGACCCTGTTAGATTTGAAAAAGCTTAGAATGTATGGAAATATGGTATCCGGTCTACACAGGTAAAACGGGTATCCGAACTCTGCAAATGAGAGCCAATTGTAATATAGTTTATGCAAGTCTCGCGTGCCATGAGTACTTACGAAGTACAAACATACGCAACCAACATAGCATCGAGGATCTTATGAAGGTCTACTCCCAACAAGCGGCACACAGTACTAGGGCCGAGATCCAGATAGAAATTTTCTGACTCGGAATAAGCGATATTCTCGTTGCACTTGCAATTGACAAACGCAGTAAACACTCTTTCCAAATCATCACAGCAATGGAGTTTTACAAAGCCTTTAAAACAAGACTTCGGAGGAAATATAGATGAAGACTATTTTGGAGAATCACAACAGTGCTCCGCGGATTTTGTAATCCAATGAGATTCCCCAAATTCATTCCTTGTATAAGAAGAGCAAGGGCCTGGACTCATTCTAGGACCAAATTCACAGGCCTCAGCAATCATCCTCATGCCGCATCTCTTTCACATTGGTTTGTGCCATGAAAGATCTGTGTAGATGTAATGAACTATAATTCCTCTTCGGAAGGTTCATCACTTGCTCCAGCTACAACAGAAAGTGAGATAGCTTCTTATCGCCAATCACGACAAATAAACAGCTATGAAAACAGGAAGCTAGGCAGAGTACAGCCTGAAGTCGCCCAATGAAAGAAGGAATGATCTAGAATGGGCGGTTAGATGTACCTTGCAGAGAGATTGGCAGTGAATTAAATTGATGGGTAAATGGAGGTTGATAAATGGGACTTCATCCCCACTCGAGTCGGAATTTAGCCTAACAGAGACTGCTCATGTTGAGCAGCAATGACATGTTTCATCATACAGTCAGATAAAATTGAGTGTCTTCTTGCAGCGAGTACTGGTATTCATGGTAAGATTCCTGCGTTTTCAATTTATTTTTTATCCGAGTTTTTAATTAGGTAAGTAAAGGGGCTGGCCAAATCCATTTCACCGCCCAATACTGCCATAATCTTGACATCCTCAGGCTCAGATTACGTAAACCACTTAACGCGCCCAAAATCTCGACGCGTCTCACAACTCAAGGTGATTTCGGATATTCTCCTACTATAAACCCAATAGTCAAACAACAATCTTTCAACGTACCTCAAACATCCCTCGCCAAAATGTCGGACTATGAAGATGATATGGATATCGATGCCCCTCCTGTGAGCGATTCAATAATGTTCGGCTCCGATAACACGAATTCAAAGGGCAAACGGAGCGCAGCAAATTTACCTGTGGAGGCAGAAGATAGTCTTCCATGGTGAGTTGACTTATATTTTCGGATATACAAGTATTCCATGTACTGACATAATCCCCCAAGGGTTGAAAAATACCGTCCAGATACCTTAGAAGATGTTTCCGGTCATCAGGATATTCTTGCTACTATAAACAAATTTGTCGACACAAATGTATGCCTCCCAATCACATTTTCTGCCTAGGGACTAATATAACTTCCCACTCAGAGACTTCCCCATCTCCTCTTCTACGGTCCTCCTGGAACCGGTAAAACCTCCACCATCCTCGCTCTCGCCCGCCGCATCTATGGCTCCAAAAACGTGCGCCAAATGGTACTCGAGCTCAATGCTTCCGACGACCGCGGCATCGACGTCGTGCGCGAACAAATCAAAACATTCGCCTCCACCAAACAAATCTTCTCCCTGAAATCCGGCCCCACGTCTCCCGGCGCCTACAAGCTTATTATTCTCGACGAAGCGGATGCGATGACTTCGACTGCACAGATGGCCTTGCGACGAGTGATGGAGAAATATACGGCAAATACGAGATTTTGCGTCATTGCAAATTATACACATAAATTGAGTCCAGCGTTACTAAGTCGATGTACGAGATTTAGGTTTAGTCCGTTGAAGGAGAGGGATATTAGGGTGCTGGTTGATAAGGTGATTGTGGAGGAGAATGTGCAGATCAATGCGGAAGCTACAGATGCTTTGGTTAGATTAAGTAAAGGAGATATGAGACGGGCTCTAAATGTATTACAGGCTTGTCATGCTAGTAGTAAGTTCTCTTTGGATGTAAAGACTTTGTTTCATTGCTAATGTGTCTTGACCAGGTACTCCGATTCACATCAAAGGCACACCAAAGATCGAAGAGAAAGATATTGTTCGAGATCTCATCACCGAAACTACCATATATGAATGTATCGCCTCCCCCCATCCAGCCGATATATCGAAAATCATGAACACCATTCTCAAAACCTCAGATGTCAAATCTTGTTTAACAATGATCAGCGCCATTAAGTCTTCCCAAGGTCTTGCATTAGCAGATATCATCACTGCGCTATCAGAAGAACTTACAAAGTTGGATGTACCAGCTTCTGTAATGATTACCTGGCTTCAGGGACTGGCAGAAGTGGAATATCGATTGAGTGGTGGTGGAAGTGAAGTTATACAGACGGGTGCAGTAGTGGGCGTTGTGAGGGAGGGCGCGGAACTTATGAAATAATTAATGAATATCGTTCTGAACGTCATTTGTTGCATATGGCTACGGAGTTTGATGGTCTGGGGCGGATATACAGGGGTTAAAAAGGGCTTCCAAATAAACCAATCTACTGACCTTATACCATTTCAATCTTAAGGAAGGAAGCAAGATCCTGCAGTAATCAACTGATACAAATACTAATGTTTCCCCATCCCTTCAATAACTCTGACATCTAACTGCTAATATAAAAAGCAATTATTGCATATATCCAGTGTTTGGTAAATGAATACAATGCCGTGATCTGTGGGTACTATCTAGTACCGTAGAAGACTAATTCAAGACTCTCATATATGTTGTTCGCCCCGAAAGAAATGGGTTTATCACCACACAACACACCACACGCCACATGTCACACGACTTCACTTGGCGATATATATCGAGAATCTAGTGATCTTATAATCAATGCTGCGGCTAGCTATGGAAACCGGTTGGACTGATAACTCCTATATGTCCAATCCCCCACCACCTTCAAGCGAAACATAAAGGGTACGGATCTCTTGGAGCAGGAAAAGCAAAGTAATGGTTAAACATGAAGATTCACACCCTGCACGGGCTCCATCTCCTTCCTCTTCCTCTTCATCTTAAACATATTTGTTGAATAGCCGGCTGAATCGTAATCATCCGATTATACTGAGCATCCCAATAACATGCCTCCTGTCCATCCAACCCCAGCCTCTTTCCAAACTGCACTCTATCCACATTTCGCAGATCGACTGTTAGCATACACTTCGTTTTACAATCTGTTAATGAAGAATAAGTTTTCTGAAAGCGATCTACTCTCAAAATAAACAAATTCGTCAGTGAAGATTAGATTAGTGAGAATATAGATTTTGGTGCGGGTATATGTGGAAGGGGGATTTCATGACCTAGGATTGACGATCTTAGAAGTGGTGAATATAGCATATCATACGGATTGGGAGATGGGTGGGTATAAGAAGTACTACTCTCTTGCATCTGGTTCATCGACTTTTTCTCTCATTGTGTTTGTCTACCGGTATATTTCAGAGCATAGATGATTTTGAATTTCGGGATATCTTCGTATAGCTGTCGTATCTGTGTCTAGACTCATCTACCACCCCCCCTAAATCCTACCTCTCCCGTCTTCTCCCTCCTCCTTTTTCCATCTGATACTATATGTCGTATACATTTCGTTCTTCCTTGCTCATCTCGTCATTGTAGACTTTTATTGCTGAGACACCGTAAGATCGTTCGTTTATGTAGACACAATTATTGTTTCTCGTGGGAGAAGGTTTGAAGTATGGCTCTCCTGGAATGAGTTGTAGTGGAGCTCAAGATTTGAGATGAGATGATATACTTGACTTTAGTAAACCATGCACTCAAATCCTGCGATTAAAATCTGCATACCTGGGTAACTCTTCATCGAAACGAGGCCCCAGATATTCGCTTGCCCAAAACCTCCAATTAAAAATTTAAAGATGCCTCCCGAAAATGGCATTAGACAATCGTCAAATCTCAACGCAAAGAATAACTCACTTTAGTTTCGATATTTTTAGAACAACTCTCTTACTGTCTTGAATTATCTTCCCATTCACCAGATCAACCTGGCCATCCACCATCCACCATCTCTCAATCTCAGTAAATTAGAACATCGAATACCGGTATAATTTTTACATCATCCCTTCGTCTGGCTCCAGATTCCAGAATTCTTAGCGAGGAATAGGAATTAAGTCACCCGTTTATTTTCCAGATATTGGATTGAAGCCTACTCACAGGATTCGTCTGTACAATCCCGCTATCGATACATCAACATGCAACTTACAAGTCTTCTGCTGAGACTCTTCGAAAGCAGATTTGATGGCATGATCTTGACTAAACAGGACCAAGAAGTTAATTTGACATCAGCGACTATTATAGTCTTCTTGTACTTCTAGGAACGTTAGGTAGATTTATCTTTATTATCAGGGTTACAGCAGACATCAATAGGAACTGTTATTGCTTATAAAGGGATCTTTGATTTATTATCTAGCGTATCTATCTCATTTCATATCAAACATCCTTAGATTCCTCACCAAGCCAGTCTAAGTCCAATACAGAGATTATTAAATGTCAGTTTTTCGCTTTCGCAAAAGCATATGTATGTATGCTATACCATACCACCAAACCTATTACCAGAATACAGAGCAAAGACGATTTTCTCCTCGGATTGATGGAGTTTGGGGTCTTTGACGGCTCGGAACAATTAATAATCTTTTTAAATGCAGTGTCTATTTCACCCGTGGCTACTTTTTGCTAGTATTTTCTACCAGTCTCACTTGATATATGTCTAGATTATGAATCTAAAAGGGATTGAGTACATTTTGGGAATATCATGAAAGCAGATAGATCCAAATGGAAGAAAAGAGCAAAACTCGTCAGCCTCATTCTCGGCCAATCTCTGTATGATGGTGGTCAGTATTTCGAGACAGTGAAAACTGGGTAGAAGCTACCGTTATCTCATTCCAACTATTTGCCTTTCAACACTACCCAGCAGCTTGATCCAATGATTCTCAATCAGTATTTCTTGAAGCCTCCGTACGAAGTATCATTATGATGTATCTACTCGAGCATATATGGATGAGGCTAAAACACCGGCACTATTCCTCCGGGTCTTTCATCGATTCAAGGTACGTATAAATGTGAAATTGCTGGAATCGAAGATAAGATAGATGAAGAGACGATGAAGCCGCAGGAAAGTGAGGCATTTAATAGGGGGAAGAAGATTGATTGTGATGTGAGAGTTGTTTATGTTACGAGTCAGAATCGCGTGGAGTATTGGAGATTGGGGCTGTGAGAGAGAACAGTATCGAACAAAGTGCATGTTGTTATTACAAATTGAATAATGTAATTGAACGCAAAATATCTGTACAGTGTTAGACCAAGGTTGTGAAAAGCCAAACTTGACAAATTCAGGACAGACGAATAGTGCATCCATATCGCAATGTAACAACAGCATATATAGAGGAAGATGAAGCAGGTGTCAGCCCAACATAAAACAAGAGCGCTATCTCGGGATTCGATGATCATGTGTATTTGTATGATTGAGCTGCTCGTACAAGTACCGTTGACCAAGTAGAGGAAATGGATTGTGCCACCCCTTTGAAAGTTGACCAAAAGGTGGTATTATCCTACTGTACGTGCAGGGGTATCATCCTAGGCCATCAGATGAGAAAGCTCGAGGTTTTGTTCGGCTATAATAAAAATATCAAAATCGCATGGGAAGGATTGTTTTCCTGTGGTTGGCAAAGTTTGCATGATAATTTGGCTCAAATTATTTGAGCCACTTGGCCCCATTGACTCAAACGCGAAAGATATTTTTTTGTCGAAGAGGACACCTTCTTGTACATATGCACATGTTTTGTCCCGCGTATAAGGGTTGCACTTCCCAGCCGGACCCGACCTCGCATCCCCTATCTATCAGCTCCGAGATCGTGATATCCCCGCAATATATACATGGGACATGCGTTATCTCCGTAGATATTTCTGCAACCATGGCTTTGTAATAAATACATACGCGGATTGCTCACTTGTGCAATTGGATTAGATGTCGATTTAAAATTGATTAGAAGATTCGGTATCATCGAGTTTTTTCACATCGTCGGTGAGTATATTAGTTGTTGAAGGTATAATTTCGTACAGCAATATATACGTACGTTCATTGTATTTTGTCGAAAAAACGAGAAAAGGCAAAGAATTCGGTCAACAATGGGTTCCACCGATTCAGCAACATCATCCCCGGGTCACGATTCCTCTTATTACAATAATGAGAAGATAGAACATAGCGCTCCCGTAATATCTCAATATGAAGATCTTGATATCAATGGGGAGTCAAGGAAAAGTTTGGAGAGGAGATTAGTGAGGAAGGTGGACTGGAGACTGTGTACCATTGCAGGTATATTATGCAGTTTGAATTTGATGGATTCGGGAATCATTAGTTCGGCCAGTGTCGCAGATGATTTCTTCACAGATTTGGGATTAGGGGTGGGAAATAGATATGTGAGGTTTCTCTCACTTTGGTCGTTGATGGCGCGTTCGAATACTTATGAAAAAACATTGTAGTCTGTATCGATTTTGGTGTATACGGTGGCAAGTGTGACATTCCAGTTACCGGCTACGCTTTGTGTGAGGATGTATGGGCCACGCTTTGTGTTCTCGATGATTACAATTGGATTTGGTATCGTTACCATGGTACGAAGTCCTGTTTGTGGGCTTGTTCCCCCATTTCTTGTTCCAAATAGAGAAAGCTAATAACAGCGAAAGTGCACGGCATTCATCAACACCTGGAAACAAATGGTAGTCCTTCGTCTTCTTCTCGGGATTGCCCAGTCTGCTATCTTTCCTGGATTGAGTTATCTTATTTCGACTTGGTATACAAGGAAAGAACAGCAGCTTCGTTTTGCCTTTTTGCAGTCAGGCGAAGTTATTGTTGTAGGATTGGGCATCTTCCTCAATTATGGTGTGAATCATTTGAATGGCAAAGGAGGCTTGGCGGGCTGGAGATGGATGTTTTTGGTTCAGGGTTTGTTTGCTATAGGTGTGTTGCTCTGCTGCAAGTAAAGCCCAAAATCATGAGCTAATCGGTGATAGTTGTGGGGTTCGTAACTTATTTCTGGATGGTGGATTTCCCAGAAAATGCTCATAAAAGCTTCCGATTCTTAACCACCGAGGAACAAGATTTGGCAACAACGAGAATTTCGGACGATAGGGGCGACGTGAAGGCCGAGGAATTTTCGTTGTGGAACTGCCTGGTCCATTTCCTAGATCCAAAGATCTATGGGTTCTGCGCATTACTGTTTTGCCTGAACTTGGTATCAACAAGTAAGCGTTGACTTTTAGCCAAGTTGTTGTATTTATTCGCTAACATCAACCAAAGGTTTGTCTTACTTCCTGCCCATCATTCTCAAAACAGGAATGGGATTTTCCGAGAATAATTCCATTATGTTGTCCGCACCGCCATATTTCTATGCCGTGATTCCTGTTATCATTTCGTCAATAGCTGGAGATTATTGCCAGCTTCGAGGCTTGGTCATAATCTTTAATTGCATCTGCACCATCGTAGGTTTCGGTATGTTAGGATTTGCCAGTCAGGATACAGTTCGATATATTGGGACCTACCTCGCCACGGGAGGATATGTGTCGAACTGGGCGGCTATGAATGCATACCAATCATCCAATATCGTTGGACAATGGAAAAGAGCGACTTTCGCTGCTGCATCTACTGCTTGTAATGGACTGGGGGGAATTGCTGGCGCATTCATATTCAGATATAACGAGGCGCCTCGATACATGACCGCAATCTGGGTCAGTATTGGCTCACATGTCATGATTATTGCCATTGTCGGTTTGTTCTCGATATATTTTTGGTATGCAAATGGCCGACAGAGGAAGGGAATGGTCTTGCTTGAGAGAACTATGGACTTCAGGTACACTTACTGAATTTGAAAACTTCCAATCGGACGGCTTCAAAGCCGCTATCTTTGTACAGGTACAAAGTACTCGGGTATAATATCGAAATCGATGAGGCTCTCGCATGCGGGGGAAGTTTCTAGAGTAAGAAGAGTACTAATCCGAGCCAATGCCCTCCGAGTAGTAAAAACATCGATGGAAAACATACACTCTGAATATGCAACTTCCTAACGAGTCTTGTCCTTGAAGTGGTCAATACATCCAACGAGCAATATTTCAATGTTCAAGTCGCAATCGAAATCCTAAAACATGATATCGTCTGGCTTGACTGATTTCACAACGCTTTTACCAGCGAAGTACATGTCAAGAATTCGGTTCGATAGCCAGTCTAGATTTGTCCATTCTCGATCCGGCTCCATCCTACATCCTGATATCCGGTTCAGCTTCACTGCAGGGGTGTAGTTATTGATGGTTCATATCTTCAAATCGTAGTTCATCAGATCTCATCAAACGAACTCCATAAGTGCAATACTTATTGGAACATCATATTGTTGTCAATACATCTACTCGAGTATACCATAATAGGTTCATCAGATCTCATCAGACGAAGTCCATATGTATTTATGACCCAGTAAATTTATATGACACAGGTTATGCTTGATCATCCATCGGACCACCCCAAGATATAATGCTTGACATACAGTGCCGGTACCATGCCATGAAGACTGACGTAGCTGGTGGATGCAACTTAACCACGACGTCGCCATATCGATGTTTGGTGAACAAGAAAGACAGATGATAGTATTCTTCGGGATCATCATGATAAATTTGACTCGATTTGAAAGTAGTGAATACCTAGTGAATTGGATGTTGCATTACATGTTTCGAAGATCACTTGTTGTTGCAACTTGCATCTAGATGATGACCCTAGATACGGACACCATTCAAGACCATTTATGCAGTACCATTTCCTATCAACTCACTTCACATTATCCGTCTTCACACTCACATACTGAAGCTACCCAGGTATTGCTCCTAAGACCTTTGAATATTCATTTACTTCGATATCATTTAATTTCTCGACATACATAAACCATCGGCTTCAATAACCTAATACAACTTCGGCATCTGTTTAGGCCGGCAAGTCCATCCAAACCTGGGTAAATTCGGCATCGCCAACTGGGAACTGCTGAATTCCCGAAATTACATGGGGCAGTCCTTAGACCACTTCGCAGGACGACAACAAATTGATATCAAGTAGGAGAAGCGTTTCTCTTGTGGCCACCTTCCAGACGAACTATACAAGATGGGTTTCCTGGGTGTTTATACTGCAATATACGATTATGTTCCGGCAGGTGAGGGAGAGCTCACTATCAAAGAGGGAGATATCCTCTACGTGCTAGAAAAGAGTACAGAAGATGACTGGTGGAAAGCAAAGAAGAAGGCTTCCGCAGAAGATGAGGATGAACCTGTGGGATTGATCCCGAGTAATTATATCCAGCAGGTACGCATCTGTTCAATTCTTCATGGGATTCATCACAGTGTCAATAGGGGATTCGGATAACCTTCTATATAACAATATGCACATAGTTGATTCATCCGGAATTGTGCAGCATATATTAACTTGTCGATTTACAGGCAGAACCATCTAGCAAAGCACGCGCTCTCTACGATTACACAAGACAAACCGATGAGGAGCTGTCATTCGCAGAAGATGCACAACTCGAGGTCTTCGACACATCCGATCCGGACTGGATCTTGGTTGGTTTTGAAGGAGAATATGGATTTGTACCTGCGAACTACATTGAATTGTCCGAGGAAGAAGAGCTCAAAGAAGCACCTGCGCCGAGTCTTCCAAGTCGACCAAGGCCAGCACCGGTTGCAATAGAAGAAGAAGCACCAGAAACGCCTCAGTCTCCCCTGTCGCCTCAGTCCCCTGAATCCCCAGTAGCGGCGAATCCAGCTGCCGCGATCGCTGGTATTTTACAGCAGAGGAAAGCGTCGGCTCCAGCAGCTCGAGCTCCACCACAATTCACGCCCGAAGCCTCCGATGAAGAGCCGCCTACACCTACATTACCTGCGAGACCCGTATCGCAAGTCACAATACCGCAGCCTACCTCGAGTCGAGAGCGAGAGCGAGAGCGAGAGCCTACCCACCATTACTCCCCAAGGCTTCCTGCATCTCCTGGTGTTACCGCATCGCCTCCTTATAATAGAGCATCTTTCGCTGCAATGGGTGTAGACGATGTAGATGAACGTAAAGCAAGTCGTGCACCGGGCGGGTTCCACATGTACAACATCAGTGAGATGGTGCATGTGATGGGTAAAAAGAAGAAAATGCCTACAACTCTGGGTGTTAATATCGCTACGGGTACGATTTTGATTGCCCCCGAACAAGCCCGAGACGGACCAGAACAAACATGGACGGCGGAAAAAATGACACATTATTCGTTGGAAGGCAAGCATGTCTTCATGGAATTAGTGCGCCCAAGTAAAAGTATCGATTTCCATGCGGGAGCTAAAGACACCGCAACGGAAATTGTTAGTGCGTTGGGAGAGCTTGCGGGTGCTGTCCGAGCCGAAGGATTGAGAGAGGTTATCGCAGCAGGATCTGGCTCCGGTCAGAAGAGAGGACACGTTCTCTATGATTTCGTGGCACAAGGAGAAGATGAGGTAGATGTGAATGTTGGGGATGAGGTAGTCATCATTGATGATGTGAAGAGTGAGGAATGGTGGATGGTACGGAGGGTCAAGAATGCGAAAGAAGGGGTTGTCCCAAGTAGTTATATCGAAATCATCGGCACAATACAACCACAAAGCTCGGCTGGAATAAACGCTGGAAGATCGACCGTTGAACAAAACAGGCTCGAGGAAGCGCGATTAGCGAGGGATGCCCTAAAGACAGCGAAGAGGGAAGAGGTTGAGGTAGGCCCTGGCATGCGACTACCCGAGAGGGGTAGCAGTTTATCTGCTCGTGACAATGGTAACCAATCTGGGCAACAGAAGAGACGAGAAAATGGCCGAGAAGGCGGTCAATCAAGATCTTCAAAATCTAGTAAGACATATTCCTCTACAATATGACACACTAAAGCTAAAATTCATAGAACCCGATCCCGCTAAAGTAAGAACTTGGACGGATCGCTCGAAGTCGTTCAGTGTTGAAGCGCAATTCTTGGCGCTGAAAGATGGTAAGATAAATCTTCATAAAATGAATGGCGTAAAAATTGCCGTCCCAGTTGTCAAAATGTCGGTAGAAGATCTGGAGTATGTTGAGCGGATGACGGGTATCTCCTTGGATGAAGATAAACCGTTGTCAGACATCAAAAAGCAGCAAAGATCACAAGCAGCTGAGCGAGAGTCGAGCAATGGTGCAGCTGCAGGTGCAAGCGTTCAGCGACCAGAGTACGATTGGTTCCAATTCTTCCTCTCTTGCGACGTCGCTGTGGGTCTCTGTGAGCGGTATGCACAGGCATTCAAACGCGATTCTATGGATGAGAGTGTTCTATCTGATATCGATGCAACGGTACTGCGAAATCTTGGAATACGCGAGGGAGATATCATCAAGGTCATAAGGTTTTTGGACAAAAAGTATATGCGAAAAGATGGGAAGCGAAATGTAAGCTTCGGAGGCGAGGACGAGGGCGAAGCGGGCCTCTTTTCCGGACCAGGCGGTGCATTGAAAAATAATACCCGAAAAGGTCGCCCGGCTCCTGCTATACAAACTAATGATGTCGTGGATGCCAATGCTTTTTCGCAAAATGGTGCTGAGAAATCCTCACCCCATGGAGTTGCCACACCCCTCGCAACCGTTCCAACTCCAACACAGAAAGACGTCAAGAGGGGAGGATTTGACGATGATGCATGGGACGTTAAGCCATCGAAACAACAAGCCGCGAGCAGCCCACCTGCCCAATCCAATTATCTTGTTTTAACTCCCCAACAACTAGCTATTACTGGCTCGATGCAAGAGCTATCACTATTATCTACCCCTCTAGAGCCGGTGAAGGCACAGCCGACTGCTCAAGCAACACCGCAGCCCCAAGCTCCACCGGCCGTTACACCTTCAATATTTGCGGGGATTGGCAGTCAACAAACTGGAGTTCCTCAACAGCAACCCACTCTTTCCGGGCCTTTGTTCCCAGCAAACTTAGCACGCCAACGTCCCGGCCCCCCTCAAATGACTGCTAACTCAACCTTGATACCACCCCTCCCCCCTTCGCGACCTCTATCAGCTCCTCAAACTGCCAGTGCTTATGGCCCGCCCCCATTGCAAGCTCAAGCTACTGGTTATGGAGCTTTTCAACCCCAAATCGCTCCTCCAGGCCAAAGCTTACATGACCTCAATCAACAACATTTGCAGCAGCAGCAGCAGCAAATGCAACAGCAACAATTTTTGCAACAACAAACGGGCATGATGCAACAACCTACAGGATTTAATCAATTCAATCCTGGAATGCCTAACAACTTTCAACAATTTCCTATGCAAACGGGAAATCCTCAACAGCCTTTTATTCCCAATCAAACGGGCACACCTTTTGCGAACCCTCCAGCACAACCATTTCAACCACAACCACTTCAAGCTCAGCCTACAGGTTTTCAGAGCGCTTTCCCTGTTGGGCAACAATATCCTCAACCAACCGGTGTGAATTCATACTTGCCTCCAGCCATGCAACCTCAGCCAACAGGCGTGATGAATGGAGCAAATGGTTTCGGCCAGACTTTCACAACACCGCCAGTCCCACCTATGCCGCGGCAGCAGTCATCTCCATTGATTCCACAACAGACCGGGCCGGCACCACCAGGTAACTCACTCTTTTTATTAGGCTTTACGTGTATAATTTCAACTAACATATCTTGCAGTTCGCTTCGGACTCAATGGTACTAATAAAATTGCGCCACAAGCTACGGGCAGACGTGCAAACCTTTCACAAGCCAGTAAGTTTACCTCATGTCTCTCCAAGAATCCAAAGTGCTAACGAAACTTAGCTCCCCAAAATCCATTTGGTTTTTAGGTTGATGGTAATTGTACACTCATCCTGGCTATGATTTGTTTTTCTCTTGTAAAATAGGCGAATAGGCATAGCTAAACATTGATATGTTAATATTCTTTCAATTTCACGCACTACAATTCATTCACATGGTCAGTTACGGTACTTGTGGTTACAAGCACATTTAGGCGTTCCTACGGAAGGTTCATAGCGGTATCATATACAGATATTTAATTGATGAAATTTCCAGATTATGTTTGTGTTTGTGTTGACGTGCAGTTTTGCATGTTGTGAGTTTACTGATATCGGTTGGTGTTTTTTTGGATTTGTAAATTTGTGGTAGTATGATGTGATTTTTTGTATAATGTCAATGTCCTGAAGTCTAGAAATCTAGACTGCCGATCTTCGTTATCAAAATATCAAGATTGATATTCTGATGGATGGATGGAAACAGTCTAAGAAGGTCCTCGAGAGTGAGTCAAAGGTGAGGTTGGTTTGAAATAGCAAGTCGTTCGAGATGAAATGAGATGTCCATATAAACAGATAGATGTGTTTTCATGCATGGTTATGCATTGTTAAGAGTTTGCATTGATGATGTGATGTGGAGGATCGGACTGCATGGTGGAGGGATGGATGGAGGTAGTTAGTTCTGGATTGTGGATTGTGGATTTTGGGTTCTGGGTTAAGGTTGGTTTGATAAAAGAAGTTTGATAATAATACTAGAGTAAAAAAGTGTAGAAGGTGATTTGTGTGTGTGGTGTGGTGTGTGGGTGTGGGAGATGGAGATGGATAATTTCTGGGTTTGGGTTTGGGGCGGAAGTGGAAAGGGGGGCGTGGATGGATTGGGAGGGAGTGGGGTGGAATATATGTGTAGGGTTAAAGGGAGGTGGATGGAAGTGAGGAGAAGGAATGGGATAGGGAAGAGAACTCCGAAGAGAAGAAGATAAAAGAGGAAGGGGGAAATGAAAAGAGAAAAAAAGGGAAGAGGAAAGCCGGTAAAGGAGATGTGTGATAGGCAGTAGGCAGTAGGCAGTTAAATGTATAAGTACTTGTACTCGAGTAGATAGATATCATATTGGGGGGTGAGGGAGAGAAAAGAGGGAGAGAAAAATGCGGATATTATATGTAATCTACTCGTAGTGTAACATCATGGAATAGAAAATCTCGAGCAAATACACAAAATTAGATTCATGATCGCAGCATCTTCGATCACATCCTCCCCCGCGAGCGATGCTTTTGAAATCATCATTTTTGAATCCTGATATTGTAGTTGTGTGGAGAGTGGAATTGCAAGTCTTACAAGGAAACGTTGTGACGAATGATTCTATAAGATACACGGCAGGTTTTATCTCTGTATTCATGTTTTGGTGGAAAATCTAGTGTATTATGTAATTTCGAGGCGAATCACTCTATAGATGGGTGGGTTAGGGTCACTTGAACATTATGCTAGATAAACCATCTCGACTTTGAAGTTTACTTCTATTTCGCTTCGTCATTCATGGGTTCTATGTATAAAACCTCACTTCATTAATAAACTCCCTCAAAAATAACTCTCATACCTTCTCCATACTCCCATCTAGCATACTAATTAACTTCCGGTCTATTATCTCTTACAGTCTTCCAGTCTTCCAGTCTTCGTCCTATTATCTTTCACGTTCTCCTTTCCCGCCATTCTCTCCACTCTTCTCACTCATTCAGGGACACTAGCTCCCTCCCTCATCGCCTTCCCCAATTCCGACGGCGCCCCTTCATCCGCATACCTCTGATAAATCGGCAAATAGAATTCCGTGTCACTTAAACTCATCTTAATACTCTTTCTTTCCTCAATAGCATCTACCCAGACTTCCCACCTCTCTCTCATATCGCCTAATTCCTCGATATGAAGACCGCCTTTGAAATAATCGAAGACCCAAATACGGAGGGCCCAAGGTGCTAGGATATAATCCACAAGACAAGGGGTTCGGCCTGTGAAATATGGGCCGATGGGGTCCATTTCCTGGGTGAATTCATAAATGGATGTGAGAAATGCGGTGCGGAGAGTGAGTATTTTGGGGTCTTGAGGGGACACTGGTTGATATTGAAGGAATCGGTGAAAAGAGGGGATGATGCGGGAAGAAGTGTGATCAATCCAGATTCTCAAACGAGCTCTTTCGAATGGTTCTCGAGTAAGTAAACGCGGCCAATGAGATGGATATGCATCTTCGAGGAACTCGCAAATAATGATACTTTCATATAGAGCTTTGCCCTCATACTCCAGGGTGGGAATCAGTCCTCGGGGATTGAGTTTGAGGAGAGATTGGGGTTTGTGGTAGGGGTTGACTTCTATGTATTGGAAGGGAATGTTCTTTTCTAGAAGGATGAGGAGAACTCGTTGGACGAAGGGACAAAACTGTGTTTGTGAGTGAGAGAGACGTGGTGATGGATTAAGGTACTACATACCCATCCAGCATAGAGCTTGGCTCGCTCTTCTTTGGAGTGCTCTCTCACCATCTGGGCAGCAAAGCCAGTGGCGTGAGGATAGAGATCGGCATCTGGATGTGACTCGGAACTGGTCATGATGAAGGGGTAGATTGGTAGTGTGGCGAATAGGGAAAATGGGGATGTAGGGAAATAAGTATTTACAATAGAAAAGAAAGTTGATTCACTATTTCACTATCTACCTGACTTACCTAGTAGAGTAGAGTAGAGTAGAGTAGTTCATTTCACTTACCTATCCAAAGTCAAACATTGTGGGTAAATAATTATCAATTGGTTTCTTTCCCTTTTGGTGGTTGGTTAATCTACGATACGATCGATGATGGGAGAAGTTGATTTTCCATACAAATCGAGTTACCGGAATCTCAAGCCACATGCGGGGCATTCGTTGATCATAAGCCACTTCTAAAATATGACATTCGAATAAGAAGAAAATAAGAACAAATCAAGGAGAAACAGTCAACTATGTAGAGAGATATAAATAATTTATATGTAGCTTTATCAGATACAATTTAAACACACACATAATCAAAAAATAGTTTCCTTGTCCAGCTGATAGAAGTAAGACTCACATGTCACTTGTGTGGCTGAACTGTTATTGGCAATAACTCAGCATGTATGAACAAACAGTGGCGGGGCTGTGTGAACCACCTTTTATCTCACAAGATATTTCCATAAACTCTACTTGAATACCAATACCAACTTAAACCTCTTGAGTTAACAAGATCTCAAGTCGCGAATACTGACACCCATCACAAACATGACAGGACCCTCAACGTAAACCCCCTCTTCTCCCAACTTTCCTGGTCTCAACCCTCAAAGCCATTCATTAAAAGCAAACATACTAACCAACAAACCCCCCAACAGACCCGGTCAAGAAGGACCCTCCTTCGCACCTCCACCTCTACCCTCAGGATGGATCGCCCAGTGGGACGGCAACTCCAAGAAATACTATTTTGTCCAGCTAAGCACCGGTGCTTCACAGTGGGATACACCTATCCACGCAGCGCCCACCGGACCAACACCACAAGCGACGCCGCAGGGCACCGAACATCCTTATGGATTACCCGGGGAGAATGGGGGACAACAACAACAACAATTTGGAAATAATGCCCATGCACATGGACAGGCGGCAGAGATGGGCGGTGATGGAACGAGGGGATTTGGAGGGGAGAATGCGGGGGGTGATGGGGAGAGGGGTATTGGGGTGAGTTTTATTTCTTTTTTCTTACTTCTTCCTTTAAATTGCATCTCCATCTATTACAAATTCCACATTCCTCATACCAACAAACCCATCAACAATAGTCCTTCGTCACAAACCAATACTTAAAGAAACAAACCGGTGGAATCCTCGGCGGAAGCAGCAGTAGCTCCAATCAACAAAGTGGCCTGGGAGGTCTGGGTGGACTCGCCAGTTCATTCCTCGGAGGTTCTTCCGGATCAAGTCATAGCAACAATAATAATAATTCGCATTCGACCAGTGGAAGTGGTGGATCATCGGGTATCGCAGGTGCGTTGATGGGTAGTTTGTTGGGCGGCGGAAAGAAATCGGATAGTGCGCAAACGCATAATCAGACGGGTCAACATAGTCAGGGTGGTGTTAGTGGGTTGATGGGTAGTTTTTTGGGTGGTGGAAGTAAACCGGATACTGCGCAAACGCATAATCAGACGGGTCAACATGCTCAGAGTGGTGTTAGTGGGTTGATGGGTAGTTTTTTGGGTGGTGGAAGTAAACCCGACTCTGCGCAAACGCAGAATCAGAATCATTCGGGTTCGCAGACTGGTCAACATAGTCAGAGTGGTGGTGGTGGGTTGATGGGAAGTTTGGGGGGAGTGTTCGGCGGACATCAAAGTCAATCTGTAAGTGGAGTTTTTATGACATATGGCAGTGGGCTAATATTTGTAATAGCAGGGTGGAAACTTTGGGTATTCAAACAACAGCAGTGCAAGTCAAGGAGGCTATTCTGGTGCAGCTCCTCCAAGTTCTTATCAACCTGGTGGCGCAAGCCAGACCTCATATAGCTCTCCAGCTCCAGCTCCCGCACAGTCATATGGTCAGGGATCTACACATACACCTTCGTCGCAGTCCTATTCCCAAGGACACACACCTTCATATTCTCAAGGATCTGCATCATCCCATGAATACAATCCACAAAACCCATCTCATGGTTTGCCGTCTCAGCAACAGTATGGTACAACTGGCCAACAATCGCAATACGGTGCTCCTCAGCATCAGTCTTCATTCGGAAATGCACCACAGTCACAACATAGTCAATACCCAGGACCACCAGGTTATGGATCTGGCCCAAGTTCCCCAGGTGGATATGGTGGTGCACCTCAACAGCAACAACACCAAGGACATCAGCAACATCAACAGCAGCAGCAACACCAATATGGTGGTGGCCCGCCTAATTCAAAGATGTCAGGGGAGATGTACGGTGGTGGAGCACCTCCTGTGCCACATGGAAGTCACCCTCACCATAATCAACAACATCAGCAACATGGTTCGCAAGGTGGTTCATCTGGTAGTTACCCTTCAGCTCCTTCCAGTGGCTATCCTGCTCAGCCAGGATGGTAGTGTTTCCAATGGTAGGATGGTGGATGTAGGACGCGAGTCAAAAGTTTTGGTGTGTTTGGGACGGTCGGGCTTCTTCTTCAATAGAATCGATATCTTGTAAATGCAAAAACTGCATGGCTTTATGTACAGAGAGAATCTTCTCCGAAATGATAGCCTGCTGTTCATAAATCTTTCTTTTCACTATCCAAGTCATCGGTCCCTATTTCGTACATCCAATCCATGACGTATTTGGAAACATACCAGCTTCCGACAGCAAGTAGTATCACATATGCGATAGTTGGTAATAAAGATCTTGGAAGGATGTTAAAGATATAAGGGTCCAAAATAATGTCGACTAATACAGGTGGAACATTCTCCATGAGAGTTTGATTCATCGTGTAATAATCAGCAGCAGCATAAATCTGTAGGAATAACGTCGAAGAGACATCATCTTGCTTGTGCATGTATTTGAAGTCCGCCTGGGAGGTTTTAGGTGCATGATCTTGAACATCATTAAATACGGGCTGACGAGTCTCGGAATATTGTGCAAGAGATGTAATTAAACCCGGAGTTTCGAAAACCGTGGTTAAATCATAAGTATTAAGTCGAAAGGAGGTGGGATCCTGGATTCATCAACATTCATTAGCATGATTGATCCAGATTTCAAGAAATATAATATGGAAATGCATATCGTACAGTAGCTGCCCAGCATATCCGCACTTCGTATCGTTGCCCTTCCTTCAATCGCTGCAGAAGGTACCAGGTAGATTGTCCATATTTGGCGTCCTTGGTAGGGAATTCGGCGCGAATGTGTGTTCGTAGAGAGTACTGTTGTGGTGATAGTGCTGAGAGATGTAGGTCCTCGAGTGTGGGATGTTCTATGGGTATATTCAGGGTTGATGGGCCGAGGAATATGACTTTTTCCGTGTTTGCTGATGCGGGTTGGATCTGTGATGTGAGTAGGAGGATACTGGATAGTATTGGGAGTCGTATGTTGTATTGCATCTTGAGGTACTGTTATACTGTAGGTAGGTAGATATAGAACTCCTCTTCAGTTATAATTTTGACTTTCTGACAAGTTTCTAGAAGGCTTGTCCAAAGGTTGTTTCAAAAGCTTCCCTATTTCAAGTTCTCCATATTTATTATTTATTTATATAGGTTGATTGATTTTACGGGTGGGGTCATCTAGAAGCTCTGACTATAATTTCCTAATCCTTACTAGCCTTCACATCGCCAACGCGGTCACCCCTATCGACAAATCCCGTTGTTTATTTTCGATCCACCGGTAGAAGAAGCGACGACTTTAATTCCTCAACACCGTCCCCTGCGCTTTCTTAGTCCCCACTATCAAATCCTCCCGAAAAGCACCATATTTGACCAACATCTTGCAAGAGATTTCCTTGCTAAGATCATCTTTCTCTTCTACATAATCTCAGTCACAACTACCTCTTCACCTATCTACTTATCAAAATGCGTGAAGTTATTAGCATCAACGGTAAGATTCTCCGACGCGTTGCACTATACACCGCTATCCCTTAGGGGATATTTGTTAACAACTGGTCAAAGTATATACTGACTTGTATCTTCTATAGTCGGTCAAGCCGGTTGTCAAATCGCAAACTCTTGCTGGGAGGTAAGTTCTGAAGTCGACAAGACTCATTATCGCATTGGTGTGGTTACGGATATGGAATGAGCATGACTAACAGATGTTTTTTCTCTCTCGCAGCTCTACTGTCTTGAGCATGGTATCCAGGTAAGCTTCTTCAACTCCGATAACAACCTTTGGTATACTCTCAAGAACCTTTACTGACGCCGCCTCCTTACAGCCCGATGGATATTTGACTGAGGAACGTAAAGCCGCCGACCCCGACCAAGGCTTCAGCACTTTCTTCTCCGAAACCGGTATGCATACAAATACAATCACGGTGTTATAATCGGTCAGAATACTGACAGGATTTTGCAATAAAGGTCAAGGAAAATACGTCCCGCGTACCATCTACTGTGATCTCGAGCCAAATGTCGTCGACGAGGTCCGAACCGGTACATACCGCAACTTGTTCCATCCGGAACAGATGATCACAGGAAAGGAGGATGCCTCAAACAACTATGCTCGTGGTCACTACACTGTCGGCAAGGAGATGATCGATCAAGTGTTGGATAAGGTTCGTCGTGTGGCCGATAACTGCTCTGGTCTCCAAGGTTTCCTCGTTTTCCACTCCTTCGGTGGTGGAACTGGATCTGGTTTCGGTGCTCTTCTCATGGAGCGTTTATCCGTCGATTTCGGAAAGAAAGTCAAGTTGGAGTTCTGTGTCTACCCAGCACCACAAACCGCTACCTCCGTCGTTGAGCCATATAACTCTATCTTGACGACTCATACTACCCTCGAGCACTCCGATTGTTCTTTCATGGTTGACAATGAAGCTATCTACGACATTTGCAGGAAGAACCTTGGTCTTGAGAGACCTGATTACGTCAACTTGAACCGCTTGGTCGCCCAAGGTATGCTGCATATGAAGATGACAGGGTTTCTCTTGTGCTAATATTTTACAGTTGTTTCTTCGATCACTGCCTCCCTCCGATTCGACGGTTCCCTCAATGTTGATCTTAACGAGTTCCAGACCAATTTGGTTCCATACCCACGTATCCATTTCCCTCTCGTTGCCTACTCCCCAGTTGTTTCCACCGCCAAAGCATCCCACGAGGCCAACTCCGTCCAAGAAATCTCCATGTCTTGCTTCGAGCCCAACAACCAGATGGTCAAGTGTGACCCACGTAACGGAAAATACATGGCTACTTGCTTGTTGTACCGTGGTGACGTTGTACCAAAGGATGTACACGCTGCTGTGGCCACCCTTAAGACTAAGCGCACCATTCAATTTGTTGATTGGTGCCCAACTGGTTTCAAGATTGGTATCTGTTTCCAGCCACCTCAAATGGTTCCCAACGGTGATTTGGCCAAGGTCAACCGTGCTGTGTAAGTTCAATTAATACATTTCCGGAAATTATCCTGCTAACCCTTTTAAAGATGTATGCTTTCGAACACAACTGCCATTGCTGAGGCTTGGTCCGCTCTTTCCCACAAATTCGATCTTATGTACTCCAAGCGTGCTTTCGTGCATTGGTACGTCGGTGAGGGTATGGAGGAGGGTGAATTCTCGGAGGCCCGTGAGGATCTTGCAGCTTTGGAGCGTGATTATGAAGAGGTTGCGACAGACTCTCTTGAGGGTGATGAGGGTGCCGATGCTGAGTACTAAAGTATCCTCTTGTGTCATATGTTTATCTCCTGTGGGATCACATATTTGCAGAGCTTTATTTAGTACTTGATATGGCAGGGTGAGAGTTCTTGAGGCGTGTTTTGGAGCATCTTCATGTTTCCCGGCAGGTCCTCAGAGTCATTCTTCCTTTCAACGAGTCCAAGAAGGAATTTCTCTCTTTTAATCAGAATGCTTTTTTGTAATCCAAATACCACAAATCCTAGTAGCCAATAAAGATACCAATTCGAAAACCCGTTGCAATGTGATCAATGGATGTAATTGGGGGCCAAACGGATGCTCATCGTTTTTGTACGCAGTGACAAGCTATTTTGACCAGGAAGACCCATTTTCGTAACCCCCTCAATCATTTATACAGCATGAGAAATGTCTTTATGTTACACATACACAGCTAATAAAAATGCAATCCCATCCGAAATTGACGGCATAAATGTGGCACAGAACAATGCGAATGGGTTGGGGCTTGTCCAATCATTGTGAGTACCTCAGGTTTTAATAAAAGTGAATCAATCAAGCAGCAGTAGCAGGCAGATGATGTTTTGCCGATTTCTCCGCCTTTCGCTTCCCGCGCTCCGTGCTTCTTAGATTCCTGGCTGTGCCAATTTAACTGTTTAACTGTTTACTTACTTGCTTGGTACACTCAGACTTTACTTTACTTTACTTTACTTTACTTTACTTTAACTTTGATTAGCACGTACCTAGTTCTAGGTATTAATTATCATAGGTTGAACGCAACGCAACGCAACGGAAGATAGATACCCATTTTTTCTTTTTTTTGAAAGTTTGATTTGTTTTAGTGTTTTTGGCTGAAAGCTTTGGAATTGTTTTGCAGCTCTAGATTTGCTTTGCAGCTCCAAGAACTTGTCGCTAGAGCTCTCAGCTTCAGTTATCAAATCTAACTTCTCATTGTTGGAACTCGAAGAGGGAAGTTGTCCCAGTACTCAAGTGTACGCAAAGCATAATGGCCGACGATCCAAGTAAGAACATCTTTTAATTTTCTAGCTTCATATAGTATTTGATGCTTTACGGCTGTCGCGAACGGTGCTCGATGGATGTTCTATATCTATTTCATAGCTATACGATGTATTGTCTTTGTGGATGGGTAAATGCATTTACTGACAGCTTCCAGCGGCACCCACCTTGAACTTAAGCCCTGAGGAGAAACGTGTGTTTGGGCAATTATTTCGACAAGCCGATACAGAGAATATCGGGGTTGTTACAGGAGAAGTCGCAGTTAAATTCTTTGAGAAGACGAGATTGGAGCCCCGAATTCTAGGAGAGGTATGCACTATATTTACTTTACTTTGTTTTGCTTGGCAGGGTCTAGATGAGCTGTGTTTGTGTTTGATATGGTGCTAACTTTAATTATCAGATATGGCAGATTGCAGACAAGGAGAATCGAGGACTTCTAACACCGGCAGGTTTTGGGATAGTATTACGGTTGATCGGTCATTATCAAGCTGGACGAGATCCAACCCCTGAATTAGCTCTGCGCCCCGGACCACTACCAAAATTCGACGGAGGATTAGGTAATACCAGTCCTACCTTTCAAGCTCCTCCTGGCCCCCCTCCAAGTGCTATACAACCCCAACCAAGCGGATCTGGACCGATCAGAGTTCCTCCTCTTTCCGCCGAAAAATCTACACAATATGCACAACTATTTGAGAAATCAGGGGCACAAGGAGGGATCCTTCCGGGCGAGCAAGCTAAGCAGATTTTCGAGCGCGCGGGCTTACCGAATGAGGTTCTGGGTAGGATATGGAATTTGGCGGATGCGGAACAACGAGGGGCTCTTACTTCTACGGAGTTTGTAATTGCTATGCATTTGCTGGCCTCGTTCAAAACTGGTCAACTTCGAGTTTTACCAAATATCCTTCCCGCGGGTCTTTATGAAGCTGCCACACGAAGAGGACCTACTAGTCGCCAGTCTACTGGCAATAATATCTCGGCAATCCCAAGACAATTCAGTGGTCAGCACGGAAGGGCTGGTAGTCCTCTAAGCCGACCCGCGTACATCCCTCCTCAACAAACCCCTCAAGCTACCAATGGTGATTGGGCCATCAATCCAGCCGACAAGTTGAAGTTTGATGGTATCTACCATGGTCTCGACAGATCCGGCAAGGGATTCATCACAGGAGATCAAGCTGTGCCCTTCTTGTCGGAATCTAAACTTCCGGAAGAGGTTTTAGCACAGATTTGGGATCTTGCCGACATAAACTCGGCTGGCCATTTGACCATAGATGAATTCGCCGTCGCAATGTTCCTCATTCGACAACAGCGAGGCAAAAAGGATGGTCGAGATTCGTTGCCAGCCACATTACCTCCAAATCTTATCCCGCCAAGCATGCGAAATCAAGTGAGGCCCGCGCCCATGCCCACAGCTCCAATCTTCGAAGCTCCTCCGCCAACAATGCCAAAGTCAGCTGCCGAGGACTTGTTTGGATTGGATGCGCTGTCGTCACCAACTGCACCTGTTCAAGCACCACAGTTAACCGGGGGGTCTGCATCTTTCGGGGCGAACCGCCAATTAAATACTGATCCTTTCGGGAATAGTTCCCAACCTTTGACCCCAACTTCACCCATTCAAGCATCTCCACAAAATACGGGATCCGTCTTTAAGCCTTTCATCCCCTCCTCTTCTTTTGGACATGCCCTCACCGCGCATGCTACTGGAAGCTCTAACAATTCTGGGCCTTCTCGAAGCTTTTCGAATCAGCCATCAGTTAGCGAAGATCTTCTTGGTGATAACGACCCAGAGATTAGTAGCAAATTAACGAATGAGACTACCGAACTCGCAAACTTATCCAACCAGGTCGGCATGCTATCGACACAGATGCAACAGGTACAAGGTCAGAGGAGCGCAACACAAAATGAGTTCACTCAAGCCGATTCCCAAAAACAACAATTTGAGGCCCGTCTTTCTCAACTTCGATCATTGTATGAGCAAGAGGTTAAAGATGTTCGTAGTTTGGAAGAGAGATTGAATGCTTCGCGTAATGAGACCAAGAAGCTGCAGACAGAAATGGCCATGATTGAAGGAACCTACACCGACCTTCAAACTCAACATCGACAGATTGTCACAGCACTGCAAGCAGATCAACAAGAAAATGCAAGTTTGAAAGAGCGCATGCGCGTGATCAATGCAGAAATCACGCAGCTAAAACCATCACTTGAGAAATTGAGGTCAGATGCTCGTCAGCAGAAGGGTTTAGTCGCAATCAATAAGAAGCAGTTGGCAACTAATGAGAGCGAAAGGGACAAATTAAAGGGCGAGGCTAGCGATTTGACTAAGAGCATTGAGGAGAATACGGCAGCTCTATCAGCTGCTGCTAGAGCTCGTAGCCAAAGCCCTGTTCAGGCTAGAGCTCATAGTCCTGCTTCAGTTGCAAGTCCAGCACCTTCTACCATGAGTGCCAACAACCCATTTTTCAAACGCCAAGCAACTGGTGGAAGTAATACTGACATGGGCTCCCCTTTTGCGGCCTCACCTGTGCAACAGACCGACCGTTCTTTTGAAAATGTATTTGGTCCAGCCTTTGGTGCTGCATTACCACACCAAGAGGCAGCAGCTCCCCTTACTTCCTTCAAACAAGACCTTCCAACCCGACCACAAACAAGCGGTGGCTTTTCTACCCCATCCCTAACTGGCGATATACCTCCACCAATGCCTGCATCAAGACAAATGAGCTCAAGCTACTTGCCATTTCCAACCCATGTTGATTCGGTGAGCTCATCGCGACAAGTTTCTGCTCCTAACAGCAGATTCGGGGATGATTCTACCGGAGACACTCCTACAAACTACATGAGAACCACTCCTACAGCCTCCTCTCCAGCAAATCAAGCTGATCCTGTCGTAACAGCCAGGGAAGCCTCTCCTGATATTGATCGTCGCTCCACAGCATCCCCTGCTATCACCGATTCAAAAGATAGCATTCCGGGGGCTTTCCCGGGCGATGATAATTCCAATATCGTTGCTACACCGACTGGCGGCACTACCTTAAGTGAACAGGCTGCCGCTGATCCATTTACAACGACGAAAGAGCCCGTTCGTTCTGGTACAGCAAAGGATGACTTCGATGCAGCCTTTGCTGGATTTGGTAGCTCTAGCAAAGCCCCAGAGCGTTCAAATACCGGAAGCTCTACTGAGCCCCCAATAGCAGCGGCAGCCCCATCAGGCTTTGGTCATGAGTTCCCTCCCATCTCGGAGTTGGAGAATGATGACGAAAGTGATAGTGCTAGCGAGGGCGGATTTGGTGGCGGCGGTTTTGACGACGATTTCAACCCAGCTTCTCCTGCCAAGGTTTCTGAGAGCCCTGTCTTATCACACACGGTAGGTAGCACAACTGGGAGCGCAAAGGAATTCTTAAACGCGCCCGCTCCTGCTGCTGTTACTGGCAGCGATCCTCTAACTCCTAATGCTCAAGCTTCGCCACCTGCTTATGATAAAGCTGTTTCCTCGGCTGATCAAGCACACTCAGAGGTTCAACAATATTCAGGCCTTCTTTCATCTCGGTCAATTCCATCTCCTGAACCTGCTGCATCTCCTGCTATGGCTGCCCCTCAAACTATCTTTGGAGCCCCGCAAGAATCCTCACAACCAGCCCCACCTGCGAAGGTTCCTTTTGATGATGACTTCGGTGACGATTTTGATGATCTTGAGGATGCCAAAGAAGGTGAAGCTGATGATGAATTTGCTAATGCTGCTTCATCCGTTCATGAGTCGAAAAGTGGTCTTGATGATTTTAACCCAATGTTCGATAGTCCTCCAGCATCTAAGCAACAAGATCACACTGGCAACTCTTTTGGCGGTGATAGCTCCGGATTTGGAGATTTTACCTCGTCTCCTAAACAAACAGCGGCTGCGCCAGCACCTGTGAATGATAATCATGACTGGGATGCAATTTTCGCAGGCCTTGATGGACCAGGAGCCGAAGCTAGTACATCTGCGGCACAAGCTAATGCTAGTGGTTCGGCTTCGAGCTTGCAAGCCGAAGCGCGTGGTAAGTAATCCTTTTCTGATCCTTTTCCTCCTTCTCCTTCGGCAGCTTTGGTAGTGGGTTGTTTACAAAGAGGAGACTTAACAAGTATTTGGAATCTAACACATCACTCAGGCGCACCATCTCTTGCAAGAGTTCCGATTGAGAGTGGACAAACTGAAAGACCGCAGATTGGGAGAGCTCTTACTGAGGCTGGAGAACATGATGATCCGATTTTGAAGAATCTTACTGGGATGGGGTATCCGAGAAATAACGCTTTGGCTGCGTTGGAGAAGTATGATTATAATTTGGAGAGAGTAGGTCTTTGAATTTCTCTTTTTTGATTCAGGGGCCTGAAGTGAGTGAATTGATGCTAAATTTTGTTTGTATTAGGCAGCCAACTTTTTAGCGAGTCAATCGTAGGCGAAGTGAATGTGTGAAAGGGGATGATGCATATGGGCAGGGAATAAGGATAGGGATAGGACAGGGTGCAGTGGGTGGGTGGAACGAAGGCGGAAGATAAGATATTTAAAGAGAGAAAGATGAAGCGAAACGAAGCGATTGTGCATATCAATCCTGTTAATATTGTATCGATTAAGTTATACCTTCTTTGCAGCTAGCGGTACGACTAGCGGATCAGCGGTGGCATGGTTATTTAGCATCTATTCCCCTTTTTTAATTCTTTGAGAGGTTTTGAGCGAGATATACATAGGCTATACCTAGTATGAGTATAGTCATCAAGTTTGTGATTTGATATGATTTGATGTGATTTGATTTGATATGATATGTATACTCGATACTTGTACAAGTAGTGTAATATTGTAATACTCGAGTAAATAATTAACGAATGAGTAATTAGATACTGTATAAAATATATAATATTACTCGAGTACTTGTATATTAGAATAGAATAAAATATGATTTGAATAGAATATGGAAATAAGAGGGGATGAAAGAGGATGAAAGGGGATGAGAGGGATGGGAGGAAGGATAGATAATTACTATAGTACTCGAGTAGTTCAATAACCAAAATCCTTAGATTAAAGATCAAAGATAAAAGGTCAAAGATTAGATTAGACTGTGGTGATTTTGGTTGTTGTTGTGTTGTATATGTTTTGTTTTTGTAATGTACTCGTATTTGTCCAGGTGTCTTCGTGTTGATAGAAGATGACTATAGAATACGGAATAGATGGGGCATTTGATTATCCCAACAGCTGTATAATAATGAAATGTATAATAGGTAGATATGCAGACTGGTTGACTCACTTGAAACACCGAAGAAAGATTGGAATAATGAAAGTCGGATTGAAGGGTGGATATATTTAGGCCCCGAGGATCAGTCAAAACGTACTTGAAAATCCTTACATTTTGTTGGTCAAGGCTCCAGAGAGTGCCTAATGAGCGTAGCTACACCAGACGGGGAGTTGCAGAGGACTTACATGGAAAACTTCAAGATCCGTAACTGATTGGTAAAATCTCCAAACTTGGCAAAGCTGCCTGCAGATTTTCGAGGCTGTGGTCCAAATTCTTGGAGTACGATCAGTTGTGTAACAAGTATTGATACAACGGTTAGTAAATAGCTCACTCTGTCTAATCAGGAATTTCACAACTTCTTTTTCCAATACTGCGTTATACCATTAGTGATGGCGGAAAAACATTTGCGCTCTTACACAAGTGCTCCGAACATATCGAGCGAGGACAGATGGAACAAAGCTTTTAATAAGCTTAAGCATAAAGATGCTCGAGAATTTAAAAGGCTTGATCAGTCTGATTGCTTGACAATTTTGAAGCAAGTGGAAGCTTCTGCTACGAATAAGAAATCTGAAGCCGACAAGAAAGCTATGAACTATACCAGACGCGACGGAACATCCGTTTTCACAAGGGATTTGTTTGGAGGAGTATTGCAGTGGGTGCAAAAGTTTCGAGAAGTAGGGAGCGTGATTGCCAGCTACGATCCTGGACATGTTGCACTACCTTGGGCAGCAGTGCAATTCTTGCTCGAGGTCGCCATACAAGGAAGTCTAGTATATGAGATTACAGCAGAAGGTGTCGAAACAATCTCCAAGATGATCAGTCAATGCAGCTATATGGAACAACTCTTTTTGCAGCGAGTGAGTGGAGACGAGAGCGGCTTTGAAGATGCTTTGCTAGATCTGTATGTGGCTATCTTAAAGTTCGAGTCATACACCATTCGTTACTACTTAAAATTAAGAGGCCGTGAGTAATGCCCGAATGTCTTTGGTACAACTTAGGATTGATTGAATTAGGGTGTAAGCTGTTGGCACCACTTGTCTTACCAGCGAAGCGTTTCCGAGACTATCTCGACAACATATTTGTTGCGCGCAGTAAAGTTGACTCTTGTGCCCAGCTGATTAATTGTCAAAGTCCGTTACTACCCACAGTACGAGGGAACTTATGAGTGAATATACAAGATGGTCTTACGATAGTCGAAGAAGTCGACAAGTTTATAAATTCTGTTAAAGGTTAGTCTCCTCAAGAGATAGTAATATCTACTAATGGTATAGGCTTGCACTACAAGGTAGACGATATCGCTATCCAACAGACAGAGAACACCAAGCTTCTGCAAGATAGTTACACTGCTATGGAATTTATATATTTATAATGCCCTGTGTCCTTGCAAGAAAGCTAAATGGATTCTACAGCCGAACAACGAGAAACCATTTTAAATTGGCTTTCCAAGGAAGTGCAAGTAACCCATCATTTACGAAAACAAAACAACCGCCTCAAAGGCTCGTGCCAATGGCTTCTCAACTCTAAAGAATATACAGAGTGGAGATGGTCAAGTCTATCATCGATTTTTTGGCTTAGCGGAATAGGTCAGTCCAGCGTTTACATGTAATACCCTCTGAGGCTGACCTTGATAATTCCAGCTGGTTCTGGTAAAAGTTTCTTAGTGTAGGTGAGAGAGTCGCTGTAGTATGCATATGCCACTGATACGTGTATTCAGATCTTCGGTAATTGACGATCTTCAGCGAAACCCACAGCTATCAGGAGCCAATGGCAGGAAAGAACGTATACAAAACCATATCACGGAGGCTCTTATCCGAGACGCCAACGGAATATAAGTGCACTGCCCACAACTTAATGCCTCTGATACAGAACCTAGGTTTCGTTGGGCAGATTTACAGCTTGATCAACTATGCAGCGACGCGGTGAACGTCGAGAAAGATATCGACGACTTTCTGGGGAATCTCCCAAAGTCTCTTGAAGAATCCTACGATCTGGTCTATAACAAGATTATGAGATCGGGTCTTGCGAGCCAAAAGGTCGCCACTATGACATTCCAGGTATTACTAAATGCGCAAAGAATCCTTACCAGCGATGAAATGCTCGCTGCAGTCTCCATTGATCTGGATCTGGATCTGGATCTGGAGAAGATGGATATACTCGCCAGCAATGATTTTGAGATACTCAGTGTCTGTCGCAATCTCGTTGTATTTGATAACGATATTAGTTCTGGCGGTTCGTATCGATTTGCACACCAATCTGTGCGAGAGTACTTGGTGAAAAGGACTGGAACCGAGTTCACGACTCTACATACCGAGATTTTCCTCATGGAACGATGTCTTTGTGTTTTCTTGTTGAAATCACAAATTACACTTGCTCCAAAACCCATGCTTACGGAGAGAATCCAGAGTATTCTGGAACTCAATGAAAGTTTTATCAACTATGCAACCGAGTTTTGGATTACTCATTGCAGGCTAGCTCAGTCTACAAAGCTGACGAGTGAGATGTTGAAGGTCTTCATCGGCATTCATGATACCTATAGCAACGGGTTTATGGAATGGAAGCAGTCGCTCTCACTGCTTAAACCTCGCGGAAACCCCCCTTTAGAATGGATGCTTTCAATTAGGAAGTCATCGTCACCGTTGTTTGTGGCTTGTCTGCACGGATTGACGGGGGTAGTTAAGGCTCTGTTGTCACACAAGAGTACCGACTGGAACGAACTTTCGGAGCTCGAAGTGACTGAGGATGTCCATGTATGGAGTGAGAGTGAAGCCGCATACCAATATTACCCTCTCGAGATTGCTGCGAGTAGAGGTTACATGGAGATTGTGAGGCAATTCCTTGCAGAACCATACTATGCTAGATGCAACACCGGACAAACTATTGGGACACGAAGTCTCTACGCTGCTATTCGTGGTTCACACCAAGAACTTACAAAAATGCTCCTCGAGTATGGTGTAGATACGAACGGTCACATTAGAGGAGACACGTGCCTTAATTTCTGTTGCCGCGCAGTTAAGGAGGGAAAGTCTGGTTCATTATCAAAGCACTATGCTGATGCGAGACTGTTCGGTCAGGAGGCAAAAGATGCTATGGCTATGCTTTTGTTGGAACACCATGCCGATGTCAATCTACCCAATCAAGATAGCAGAACGCCATTGGAAATTTCAATCGAGCACGAAGCAACCAATATTGCCAAAGCCTTGATTGAGCGAGATGCGAAGCTACCAGCGAGAATAGACAGCGTCTTACGCGCTGCTATTAAGAGCGGGGACGTCGCTTTACTACAAGCGCTCCGCACAAAATTAAGAGTAAATTTTGCTCAAAGGGATTCGGATGGCTCGACCTTGTTACGCGCGGCTCTCAAAGTTATTCGCCCCAGTCGGGATGTCATTCAATTTCTCCTCGACGCCGGCATTGATATCGGGGCAGTAGATCGACAGCAGAGGACGGCCTTGCATATCGCCGTACACTCAAAAGAGTACGTTACGCCGGTCACATGTCATACTGCCGTTTCACCCGCATTTTTATCGGCCGTGACTTTTTTACTTGATAAAGGTGTGCCAATTGATGCTGAAGATTGCCGTGGGGGAACCGCTCTAAGACAAGCAGAAATGGTTCACTATCTGCCTGAAGCCGGCAATATCAACGACCTGGACGAAGATGATGATCCACATCTTAATCATCCGCTCATCAATCTTCTACTATCCCGAGCCAAGATCAAGACCAATATCCAAAACTCGGATAGAGAAACCCCAGAAATTAGGTCATCTCTGTCTCCGCCACTCATTGACCGAGAAACAAATACAAGTTCGCATCTTCGACAGCAATCTGTAAAAGATTCTGCCGAAGATTCCGCTAATAACTCTCATCTCGACAATTCTGAAAGCACAGGTGAGATTGAGGACGGAGAGTGGATTACGGAAACACATACTCTCTTGAACATGAGGACGTTGGTAGTGAGACGGCGAAGAATCTAAGTCATTGGTGGCTTGATGTATCGACTTTGCAGAATTAAGCCCGCAAAAAAGCAGCTACCTTTACAATGCTGTTCAGCTTGGGTATTGTACCGACGTCTTTGAGAAGAAAAGGATCATCTACTCGAGTATACACCAGATATAAAACCCCCAATGAAATACAATACAATTTCCCATCATTCGCTCAAGTTATCCCCCATAACTTTCCTACAGATAACAATAAATGTGCCAGCAGATTTGACCAATCTATTCATCGTTAACCCCCCTTTCTTCTTCATCTTTCCTCATAAAACATGGCATCTTCATACACAAGTCCAAATTAAAAATTGAAATTATCATTCCCGCGTTTTCAAAAAAATCCAACGCAAGTGGCAAGACGTCTGGACTGGCCCAAGTCTTCTGTTTGAAATATGACATCTATTCAGATTTAGATTGGACTTTGGATTTGAGACTTTAAAGCTTTCTATAGGTCATATTCTTGAACATGCAAATACATGTTCAATACCATGTTGATGACCTTTAAACCCCCGAAGCAAAAACGCGACTTTTGGATATTCAAACATAATTGAATATTAAACACCAACTTTGGGGGGAGAATACTAATAATTTATCTTTAATAATCCAAAATAATTTCGTAACATTCAATAAATCGTAAGTATACTAATACAAACACAGACGCCACGACTCGAACTTAAAGATGCCCACCAACATGATCAGACTCACTACTTCCAAATCCGGTCCACCCCTTGAAGTCATCGGCAAACGTAACTGCCATAGATAGATATCTCTCATGTACATCTCCCCAAGTGAAAGCTGCTTCCTTGATAGCTCGTATTGCTTTCACATAATGTGGATCAGTCGACCACACACCATTGATAGCTTTATCTTCCACATATTTCCATCCCCTATCAGGTTTCTGCTCAATGTCTTCGCTTATTTTCGGTCTCATTTGCGCGCAGTACACGGCGATCGTTAATAACCACCATTGTCTTATCAAACTTATTTGAAACTTCGCAGGGACGAAAGGAAGTAAGATTCGAACGGCATGGCTAGTGGTTAGTATATGTACCACGAAAAAGTCGTATGCGTGAGTTCCAGGCTTGACTGTCTGCACAAGTAAGTGTACAGCTGCTTCTTGGGAATCTTGGAATTGCTTTTCAGGGTCGGTAATGCTCCATGCGTTCCAATGTTCAAGAATAAAGTCCTCATGCTTCTCGAATAGTTTGGTTATGTTAGATGGTGATGGTTCGTCAAAAGCTCCATCTAACCGAGAATCGGCATGTATTTTTTGGAGGATTTCCAGGGGCGAGGTCGTGCTATAGGTGGAGGCTTTCGTATAGGCTGGGTCATCGAGGTATCTATGCATAAAGTTGTAGCATGTAGATGTGAGAGAGAGGGCCTCGATGGCTAGTTCGCGACTATTTAGTTCGACTGCGTAACCGAGATGGATAAGGGGGTGACCGACTAAAATGTTTGTTAGTATGAATGTGGCAGAATAAATGGTATACGTACGTCCTGAGGTCAAAGCATTGACAAGAGGAGCTTTGCCACTATAGAGATACTCCTCTATCAAAACCTTCCAATTGTAGCTGTATTTTAAGGCCAATTCATCTTCAAAGAAGTCAACGTATGCCCTCTGGTATACCTTCTCTCCTAAGAAATCTCTCCAATCTGCTTCTGTAATTTCTCCAGGAGAGTCCTGCCATTCCTCAAGATGTTTTGATTCTTCGGCATAGACTTTTTGTAGCTGATCGTAGTCCGCTCCTAGAAGATATGCGGAGCCTAAATGATGTGGTAAATGGTTGTGAAATCGATTGTGATTGTATAGGATTGAGTGGTTAATATGGTTCGATTTCAATAGATGCTTCAAAGTTCTTGGTCTTTTCTCCGGAGCTGTTTCAATATCATGAATCTCAACCGGTGGAAGAGTTATCGATTGAGCTGGGGAGCCGATAGTAGTATTGACGACATATTTATAAATTCTGTTCACAATAGGAACCCAATTAATCATAGGTGCCGACATGATTGCTATGGTGTTGTAAGTCCATCAATTGAGATTCAGAACAAAGTTGTGGGAAACCTTGAGCTATTATATGGGTAGAATGATTTGGTTGGTGATAAGATAAGAGCGGTGAGATAAGCTTGTTGAGCATGGCGTGTGTGGCGTGTATGGCTTATAAAGCGGAGCTAGATCACGGTATCGGAAGATCTCCAGCACCGATCCATACAAACTTGATATTTTGAAGAACGCGTCGCGACGATACAACACAGGTCAACTATGAAAGTTCTTTTCACAAAGTTATCAGTTTCCATCAAACAATGCCACCAATTAAGCCTTTGATATATGCAGAACTCCTGTCGAATATTCGTCAGATATCTATCCTCGCATTTTTAGATACACCATCTGATCCTGCCACAAAAGCTGAATTATCGGCCGATGGGACTCGATTGACATTGCATCATGCCGAACAAAATATTAAACTTGAGCTTCCAGGCCAAGTTGTAGCAAACTCACAGCTACGGGGATTCCCTGTCGGTAGTCTTGAGTTATCATGGCGTCTTCCTTTGGCAGGAGACTTTCAACGAGCTGATGTAGATATCGCCCAAACTATTGAAGCACCATGGTCAGCAAAAGATATGGTTATTGGTGAACAAGTTCTTGAGTGCCGTAGGTGCTCTGCGACTATTGTGGAAGCAGATCAGATCAAAGAATGGAAAGATCTTCCAAGTGAGGGTTGGGCAGAAATGATGGATTTCTGGCATTGCCACAAGCCATCTGACCATGAAAACCTTAGTCACGGAGAGGAGAAACAGACCGATCTGGCTTCTTCCAAAGGTTATGGAGCGAATACAAAATTCACTGCACAGGCTGGAATTGGATTCGTGGATCATTCAAGCTTTCTTCTGGCAGAAGACGATTGTAATCTTCCTGCCGGAGGTAACGAGGTAAATTACTATTTCTCCCTTTTTCTTCATTTGCTCCTCGAGTTTCTACGGGTACCAAGAAGGAGACCAGGATCTTCTCTATAGGCTGGTCGCCGATACAAATACCCAAAATCAACCACTTGTTGCTGCTCTGCTCCGGCAGCAATCGATTTCATTTACCCTCTTCTTCGGATTATGGGTTTCTATCTCGATTGGAGGATTTCAAACCTTGGCATATCAGTTCGCCGTATCTTCTTCAAGATCTTGGAAGTCACGGGATTACAACAAGAGACATTTATCAGTAATCATCAGACAGTTTTTGGATCAAGGCACGTAGTTTACCTTGCTCTAACGATTTTTTCGCTCACAGGTGAAAAGGACTATTCATTGTGAAAATGGCTGGTGTCTCACTACGATAGGTTTCAGTGATCCTCATAACGAAGGCATCAGACTATTCAAGTGGTGTTTACGCATGAGAACTTTCGAGAACCCTGCACCAACCAACCTTTCAGGTGCGGTTCTTGAGCCATCGATGGCATCGATTATTTCGGCGCAATTCTTGGCAATCATGAACGCATCTTGTGTCTCCCGTTTAGTTTTACTACCCACACCCGTGACTGGAAAATTCGATCCGATATACCCAGGCCTCAGCATATGGATATTCAACCCATCAATACGATATACCTCAGCATATTTCTACCGATGCAGAAAAACGCACGTCTCTACATCCGGCAAACCCGGAATCCTAGCTATGAAAATCCTCTGGAAACCATGTGCTCATATCAGGGATCCATCAGCGGACAATGACAATGAGTCCGTGGAGGAGCTAGAGTTTCCAGGAGCCGTGTTGCATGAATTTCAGCATTATTTAGAGGAAGTTGCCAAAAGATTTTTACCGCCAAGTGCGAGAAAGTTGCAGGATTGGAATGTGGCGCTTTTGGAAAGATATGAACAACGGCAAAAGTGATATGCGCGCAAGGATCTCAGCTATATCGTTGCATGTTTCATCGGTTGGACTACCGCTTGGCTTTTAGAGCTTTCTGTCTTGATGATACATATCAATCACATATCCGCTTATAGAATAGAATGCCACCATTAAAAATGAAAATTTCCATCATAACTCACTCTTACTAACCTCCCTCGATCTCGTAAAAAAAAAATTCTCTCCAAACATTTCCCGAACCTCCCCCATTCCAATCGGCTGACATATGAATCGAAGCATCGAAACATCAAAACATCGATTTGACAACCTCGTACGAGCCGGATCGCATCTCATCTCATCTCATCCCAACTCACCTTATCTCTGAAAACATTTTTTTTTTTCAAAAGGAGGCATACGTATGAGTATATGGAGATAGAGTGTGGATGATAGGCCGTATACTTACTGTCTCTGTTGCTGTATACCGGCCGGTTTTAGAGATTAAATATGAGATTGGAATAGGAGAGAAACATTTCAACTCGATATCTATTCTACTATTCTACTATTCTACTAACTCTACTACTCGAGTAGTAAATACTAGTCTAGATCTTAAAGTATATTCACTAATAAGTTTTCCATCAATTTTCTACCTTATATAGGTAGTATTTCAATCTTCTTCTACGAGTACTCGAGTATAAGTATCGTAAAGCCATGCATGCATTTTCCCATTTCCAATGCTCTCTAGTCTATATATAATCTATCTATATAAACCCCAACGCCAACCCCAATCCTATTCATCCATCCATCAATTTTTCAACCCAACCCACCCAACCCAACGCCTCCACCCGCCCCATCTAAATCCTCTCCTCCTCCACCCACAAACGCCCACCCGCCTCCTCCAAAATCTTCACATGATCAATTGCCCTCGCCTTCCTTGCCAAAAACAACGGTGTGTTACCTGCTCTATTACGTGCATGTACACTTGCACCTCTCTTTAGCAACTATTGATTTTTGTGAATTTTTGTTAGTTATATAGTCATGTATGAGTATGAGTATGTATGTGTAGGTAGGTATTGTAAGATTCAGACACTCAGAAACTCATTTGATATTGAGATTGAGAGAGAGAGATATGAATAATGTTGAAAGTCTTGGAAACAAACACTCGGGAGAGAAACTCATAGAGGAAGAGAAGAGTTTAAGAGGAGATAATCTCAAGAGGAAGAGAAGAGTTCAAGCAAAGATACCACCTACTTCTCTTAAAACATCTACTGAAGGTCCTACAGCCCCGAGATGTAGCGCGGTATTGCCGACGTAATCGGTGGATTGGAGAAGGCCGGCTCGGTCATGGTCGAGGATGTTGATGATGGCATTTGCGTCACCTTTTTCGACGGCGTAGCCGAGACCTGTGAAGGCATGTTGTTGGGCTGTGATTGATACTTGATCATTTACCGGATGTGAAAAGGCCGTGCCGGCCTCCTCAGTCATTTCTCCTCGGATGGAACATTGCATTTGCATGGTAATATCTTCATATGAAAGATCGGGGAGAGCGAGCAGGAAGGAGAGTTTCGTGAGGGCGGCTTCGGTTGTGAGATCGTGTCCGAAGACTACTCCTGCTCGACCGAGAATGGTAGCTGGTGCGTAGAGAGGGGATACGGATCCAGAATGACATTGTGATACGTTGACGATGATGACACCTCTCTCGCAAGCCTCTTTCATAATCTTGATCATACTTCCATCATCTCCACTTGGTGCATTGCCGGCTCCAAAGGTTTCGAGGATGAGACCTCGGAGGTTCGGAATTCGGAGGACGGCATCGATCATTTCGGGTTTGATACCAGGGAAGATGCGAAGACATGCGACGTGAGAAGTATCGAGGTCTAATTGTACCCCGAATTTTGCGATCGATCGTGGTCGACGAACCAGATTCCAATTGACCGTTGCTCCTAAAGCGGTCACTTTGGCCAAAGCTTCACAATTTGGTGAAGCAAAGGCATCAAAGGAAGTGGCCGAAACTTTCGTTGTGCGATTTCCGCGGAATAAATTGTGATGGAAGAAAAGACATACTTCCGGGATCATGAAGGTTCCGGCGATGATTAATGATCCGAGAAGATTATCTACGGCATCAGATTGAAGAGCAAAGATCGATGCTTGAGATCCAGTGAGAATAACCGGTTTTCCCAGATGGGACAGCATGAAAGATAAAGCTGAACTTGTGTATGCCAGACTATCTGTACCATGGAGAACAACGAAGCCATCGAATAAATGATAATTTCTCTCAATCGTGGTAGCTATTTGTGTCCAACCATTGGAAGATATTGAAGATGAATCTAGTAAGACGGGAAATTCATATAAGGTATAACGAACATGTCGAGAATACGTGCTTGGGGGAGTACGTAAACTGGGTAAATATTCTTCTGTGGTGTTTGTGGTCATCACTGGCATAGGATCTGAACACCAAGTCAGTCATTGATCAATTCTCCGAAAAACATATTGCGTATGCGGTGGATTATCGTCCCTGGGATAAAAGTAAGGCATATCGACAGCGGAGATAATGCAATGCAATGTAACGAACAACGATTGATTGCATGTGACATATCTTCAATATAACTCCATCAATGGGAGTTGATGAATATGTCACCGAAGAATCCCAACTTAGAAATTCCGGAATGAATTGGCTTCAAAGGTGCCCACTAAGGCCATTCAGTGTAACTTGAAGACGCGTTTTGCGTACACGAAAAGTCCCTTGAGATCTCCAAACATTGTCACACTCAGCGAAGACCTCCTTAGCGACCTTACCTTACCCTTACACGACCTTCGTCATATCGGCGTATATAACTTTTTGGTGTTCAAAACAGCGGACGTCATTGCAGGATTTCCAGATTTCCAGCTCTCCACAATCTGAACTTTTCATCATTTCGATAATGTAAAAAGCAGAAGAGTCTGAAACTATATTTAAAGTTGTATCACGATAAGTTCAAACAAATAAAAGCATTTTCTTACCTGGATTTGAGCCGTCGTTGAATGATGGTCTAGTAGCCATACCTTCCTTGAGGAACCCTCTTGCTGGAACTAAGCCTTCCGGAGATGATTTCATACAGATGGTACCTCCTGTCATAATGATAAGGACTCGGCCTTCTGGATATGATTGTGTCACCATGGTGAAGGAAGAATTCTCTGTAGTGATTTAGGAGAAGATGGATGGATGGATCGCTAGGAGATTTTAAAATAAATCTCCTTTTAGGTTGATAGTAGTACTCTTGAGAAGAAGAGCCTCGAAACTATGAATGACCCGAGGAGTGAATGTTTGTTTGTATGATACTATTTTCTTTGTTTATAATGAAATGTTGTTGTGGGAGAAAAGTAGAAAGTTCTTAAAATACTATCATGGACTTATTTGTTAGCTTGATTAATCTGACGTAATTCACTTATTTTTGAATCTTAAAAATTAAGTGAAAATTGAGTTATTGTCTAAAGTAATAGATGAGATGAAATGAAGAGGAGATATTCACACAATATTGTTGTCGTTGTTGTTGTTGTGTTGTGGTACTGGTAAGTAGTGGTAGTGGTGGGTTGTGGGTTGTTGTGGTCTAGATTCGATAATTCAGATATTGAAAAAATTGATTGTGCTCATCACATGGGTGGGATGGAAGTGGGATTATGGGGATTGTGTATTGTCTTCGGAAACATCCACATCCATATCCACATCCATATCCATAATTCACTACCATTTACTGTAATTGACCAATCAAAATTAAGTAATTTATGAATTCTGTATTCAAACTTTATACTCGAGTGGTAAGTATGTATACAACAGTAACTGTTCAACGTGGTTCACGGATGTAAAAATATCCATTCTGACTAACACTACCGGTACCTAGTAAGTGAGATGATTTGAAGGTATTCCAAGAAGATGAGATGGGATGGGATGATATTGATAGTTTGAATTGAACGGGCTTGTATCAATCCGTACCAGGACTTGTTATATTGAGGCGTTTTGGAGCCACAAACCAACCCACTTAACCAAACTTTCGGAGAACGGAGACAGTGATAGTGATAACGACAATCACAATGACAGTAACAACAATATCAAAATTCATACATCTTCATAAATATACCTACCTTTCTTCTCTCATCGTCGACAATGTTATTAGGAATTCACAGTCTGTACATTCAGTCTGCTATCATCTCACTTTATTCAATTTCACTCCTCTCATCTCATTATATTAGACTTACCTACTTACTCGAGTTACTTCTCTTACTTTTCTTACTTCACTTCTTCCCAATAATTACTTTCAATCTATCTTACGTTTCTAATTGCCATCCATCAATCAAACCATTTAAAAGCTTCAAACTCCAAAACTCAAAACTTCAAAACTCCACAACAATCTCCTCGGTCCCGAAAACCATCGCAACCACTCCACGAATCCCAGTGACATACACTTTTACACTTGCCAAGCATTCATCCTTCTCTATAAGCACATCAGTGACATACATTCTTTTCGTCCTTATTCTCTCGAGAATTTCATTCAAAAGAGTGATCACCACATCCCTTACTTCCCAATCCCCGATAACCCCACACCCGCGCCCTCCCTCAACTCGATTTCTCACTCATATAAATATAGCTTGGCTATGCGCCAGACGTTCGCATTCACAACCACAGCTATGGCAGCAGCTTTAGAAGATACTCCTGTTTGCTACGAAGATTTGGCCGAAATCGAGAGAGATTTCGATGATGCGGAAACGGAAATTAGTATGTTTATATTTTCTTTTTCTTTTATGACGTTGAGGCAGAGGTGTTTTTTGTGGTTGGAGGGGTCCGAATGCGCCACGAGTTTCTGTAATCATATCAGATCAGATCGATCTTTTTGTGCGACAGTCATTGAAGTACATGTATACATTGGGATCTGCGAAGATTCTATTTATGGTTTAATTGGCATAAATACATCAATTAACTAAATCTCTACCAGTTCGTCTACAAGTATCTCTCACTCGACCTCTTTACACCCGTCGCAATAATACGGTCGCTCAAATTCCCAATTTCTGGGCCCTCGTACTCGAACAAGCACCTCCTGATATAGATCAATACATTCAACCCTCCGATTCCGCACTTCTCCTCTCCTCGCTCACATCCCTTCACGTTTCGCATTTCGAACTCGAAAATCCCAAAACTGCCATCGGTGGAGATCCAAGATCTGTATCCATTACATGGACATTTTCCTCGAATGAGTATTTCGAAGATGAGAAATTGGTCAAGAAGTTTTGGTATAGGAAGAGTGTTGGGGGTTGGTGCGGATTGGTCAGTGAACCAGTGAGGATCAATTGGAAGAAGGGAAAGGATTTGACCGGGGGTTTATTGGGTATGGTGTCTGATGCTTGGGATGCAGAACAGAGGGGTAAAAAAAATAGAGAGAAGGATGGGAAGAGCAAGGATATGTCACCACAACAAAAAGCTCTCGAGAAAAAGATGGCCAATACTAGTATGGGAGGCTTAAGTTTCTTCGCATGGTTCGGATTCATCGGTCGAAGGGTTAGTGAGGAGGAAAGCAAAGAAACTAATGCTAAAGATTTGGCCAAGAGAAAAGCCAGGAAAAATGGAGAGAAAGTCGCAGAATCAGAAGATGAAGACGATGAGAAAGACGACGAAGAAGATTTAGGAATGAGTTTGGAAATATTTCCTGATGGAGATGATCTTGCTATAGCTATCACGGAGGATTTATGGCCTGGCGCTATCAAATATTTCAGTTGGTCTACCCCTTAATTCCCCGGCTCGCAATGTCATTCCACCTACTTGCTTGTTTGACATTGAGGTATGAGATGAGACAACTACTAATATATGAATAACAGCTGCAGCACAAGAACAAGATGCATTATCAGATGCGGATTTCGAGTCGGATGATGAAGAAGATGATGATGAATTGACTGAAGTCGAGAGACCGGTTAAGAAACAAAAGTCTTCATGAGTCGAATGCATTCATATCCCAGGGGCTTGGAATTTGGCGATTTATAATAACAAGGATTTGAATGAAGATGAAGAAATTATATCAGGATTGGGTATGGATAATAAATCGATGGATGGATGGCGTGCTTCGGATTCGAATTCGGATTTGGATTCGGGATGGAATATTGTATAACATAACATAGGTAGATTGTCAACACAACAAATCGGGAGTCTAGATGTAAGCTTGGGGTTGGGGTTGGGGGTTCTCGAACATTTTCTTTGTGGGGGGCGGTGAAGAAGGGAGCGATATGGAATATGGGATCCCATATAAATGGGAGATGGATGAATGGGATATATGGGTTGAGATCTTTTATTGATTGTTGATTGTTATTTTATATTTATACGATAAGGTCCTATGTGTTTTATACGAGTAGATTACTCGAGTACATGTGCATGTGCACGTATTTATGTATACAAGAGCATATAAACGAGGGTTTTTTTCTTTGTTTTTAGAGAAGTAATTTTTTTGGTTTTCTTTTTTTTTCCTTTTCTACAAGTAGAGAACTTGAAAAAACTCGAAGAGAGAGAGAGAGAGAGAGAGAGAGGAGGTCGTTGGAGTCTAC